AATTAGCATTGATCTTCAAAAGGTTGTAGTTGTAACTTCCATTATAAACAACATTATTATTGCAAACAGTAGGAGTTTCAAAGTCTCATTTGTATGGATACCTTCTCATATAGGTGTTGTCCAGCATGATGACACAAACAAGGCAGCTAAAACTGAATGTGATAAGCCTGAAGTTGAGTGGGATATGGGCATTCCAATCTCTTCTGTCAAAGCCGCAATATTTTAGGAAATTAGGGAAGACAGAAGAGCAGTCACTGACACACAAAAGCCAGAAAGCAAGAGTATAAAGAGCTATGACATGTTTATGTGCCTCTGTAACCTTTTCCACTACCGCCCACAAGATGATATATGGGGTGCATAATTAATGAACTAAACTAAGTAAACATGTTTAGAATCGAGAATTATATGAACGGACAGCATAAAACTTCCACTAGTGTCACAATGACAGTGTGACATTGTAATTGCCAGAATTAGGCTAGGATATCGATATGTATCGCAGGTGGCTGCAGGTAATGAATAGCCCCCAATGGTGAATATTCCAATTGTAAACTATGTGAACAAGAGCTGGGACATACTCACCAACACTATATCTGTGATTGCCCTGTTATAAGTGACTTCAGACCAAATGGTATAAGGTACTTTGAACTCTGTAATTACTTCATACACTTAGGAATATTGGAAGATATTGTAGCGAGTAGATTATCCCAATAATATACTCGCTCCAAATGCTTTGTTAATATTCCTGTCAACCTTTGGAGATGAATGAGGTGAGGCGTTGCCCGGGCAACACGGTGAGGTGTTGCCCGAGCATATAAGCAGAAGAATAGCAAACATTAACCAGAGTCTACTTTCAAGTGTGGTCTAGAGCAGACACTTGCGAGATACTGTACCGACGCTCAGTGCGCTCAACTCACACCAAAGTATCACCTGTGTACTTCTGTATATTCGACCAAATATATATATATTATCTTAGTGTCTGTGTTTATTTGTCACCATACTTTACGTAACAATAGAACCGTTACAATATTCTTATGCTGTACCCGGATTTTGCTAACGGAGGCTAATAGATCAGCCTTATATTTTATGTTCTCACCTGATTGTTACCTTGAGTAAGTGGTAGTCCTCTTGAACCATTAACTGTATCAATAGATGATACTGGAGATCTGTGGAGGTGCGACTGGACCCTGCATGACGGGAGATGTATCCCTTGTTTCTTGTGATTGATTGATGAGGATTAAGCCACCCAAAAGGTAGCACGGGCATGAATAGCCCGTAAGTGGTGTTCTTGTTAGTCACAGTTGATTTTTTTTTTTATTGAGGCTGGTATTTTATCCCCTGATTCCATGTATAACTAACTATCCTGTGAGATGGGAATATTTAATGAACTTATAGCTAGTTTTTGATATACACTGTGTAATCTTTCATATAGAATAGGGTAGCAGCACATTACTGTGTATACCTAAGCTTGTTAATAATAACAAAAAAAAAAGTTAGTTTCTATCGATAGGGAGAGCGATGGTTCAAAAATCCTTCTTAAAAATATGAATATCTTTCCTATCTCACTAAGATCTAATCTCTGTGATTAAAATGCAAAATTGACTTTGTCACTGCCTTTTTGATAACGTATACAATCATAAGCTTATTTGTGAATCTCTATTAAACAGTAAATCAGAGAGCGTGTAAGGTTCCGTGTTCCATGTCCGAAGAAACAGGGAGATTTTACATAAATACAGTACATGATAGTTTAAGTAGCGAACGCATACCAACAAATATCGATTAGTATCTATAACAAAAATATTGTTCTATGGAGTTGATTTAACTTCCAACCATGTATTTTTAAATAATCTTTAACGTTTTCTGGCTAGTTATGTTAGATTTGATTAAAAATACGCATTCTACTTGTTAATATCGTTAGATTTGATTAAAAATACGCATTCTACTTGTTAACATCATAAATTAAATTTGCGATAATTTGAGCAGAGAAGTTCGACGACTGGATCACTGTGTACAGAAGGTTGATATGCCAGCAAACACGATGATTGATGAAGATTAAGCCACCCAAGATTTGGCACGGGCATGAATAGCCCGTAAGTGGTGGCCCTTTCGAGCCATTACCAGTATCAAAAGATGATACTGGAGATCTGTGGAGGCGCAACTGCACCCTGCGTGACGGGAGATGTCTCCCGGACCAAGTGTCCAGCAAACACTTTCCAGAGAGCAATATATCTTGGATAAGTCGCTCCACGATATTGTTGCTTGGACCATCGACTTCCTTTGATATTTTTTTTTTTTTTTTTTTTGAGATATATACAAGAGTTGTTACATTCTTGTACAGCCACTAGTACGCGTAGCGTTTCGGGCAAGTCCTTAATCCTATGGTCCCTGGAATACGATCCCTTGCCGCGAAGAATCGTTTTTTCATCCAAGTACGCATTTTACTGTTGCGTTAAACAGAGGCTACAGTTAAGGAATTGCGCCCAGTAAATCCTCCTTGGCCAGGATACGAACCCATGACATAGCGCTCGCGGAACGCCAGGCGAGTGTCTTACCACTACACCACGGAGACTGTAAATATTACAGTAAATATGAGACTATTAAATATTACATATTTACATCTTATTTTGTTATGAAATGATATTTTTTCAGAGTAAAATTATGTTTTCTCATTTTCTGCATCCAGCATCCACATTATAGTGAGTAAATATACCATATTACTTCATTGCCTACGTAATGCTAGGAAGGTTTGAGGAGCTTTGGGTCTTTATAAATCTAAATATAAATATAAATCTCAAAATAAACAATACCCAAATTTGTAACAAATTAGATGGCAAATTCCTTGGCATTCTCATTGACCACAAGCTGAATTTCCAGGGACACATTCTAAATATATCAAAAAAAGTTTCAAAAACTGTGGGCATTCTTTCTAAGATCAGATATTATGTACCACGCCCTGCCCTGGTGACTCTCTATTACTCCCTTATCTATCCTTATCTCAACTATGGTATTTGTGCTTGGGGTTCTACTACCCAAAATCACTTACGTCCTCTAATTACCCAACACAAAGCTGCTATTAGAACAATATCCAACTCTGGCCCCAGACATCACTCGGTACCCCTACTCAAATCTCTGAATATGTTAGATATTAAGTCACTGCACATTCTCTCCTGTGTATTATACATATATAAAACGCTAAACTATAATGCCAATCCTGATCTTAAAAGCTTCATAGAAGGTTGTAACAGAACCCATGAGCACCACACCAGAAATAAATACAGTTTTGATATTCCTAGAGTACGTCTTAATCAAACTAGAAATGCTCTGCAAATCAAGGGGCCCAGAATGTGGAATGACCTTCCCAACCATGTTAAAGACTGTACCTCTCTCAACCAGTTTAAGATAAAAACTAAACACTACCTAATAAATTCCCTGTAATCTACCTCACTCCTCTATTGTCAACCCATGTCTGTTATTTTCTTTTTTTTTTAATCAACACTGTTTGTCAACCTATTGTATTTGTGCTGCTTTTTCAGTCATGTTCCCCCTTTTTTTATCTTTATTTGTATTTGTTCTCAACACTTTTTATTCTTTATGCTCAATTAGTATTAAGTTCTAGATATTAATGTTTTTCTTGCCCGAAACGCATTGCGTAATAGTGGCTTTAGGCATTGTATGTACTAGCTCTATCTATATATCAATCCATTAATGTAACATCACTTGTATGTATATACCTTACCTGAATAAACATCTTTAGTGGACAGAATCTCCAATAGATGGAACGAGAGTCGCCCCATCTCTCTCGACCAAGCGGGACTCGAAACTTAAATTAAAATTGCTATATCATTGGTCTCCAACATGATATATTTCCTTTGATGCACTCACAATAACGATTATAGCTCTGTCTTTCTGGAGGCATGTAATATTTTAGGCTTTATTAGCGTATCTTTGTTAATTACACAACATATTGGCAAGTGCGTAGGCGTCTGCACTCCATGACCGAAAAGCTACTGAACGCCACTATAAAAACATATATATCTTCACTTGAGCTTTAAATATGTCTAATGTAATGTATTTAAAATAAAGCTTATATTTCTATCTATCTTAAGACGTGTAAAACATTTGTGTTTATTAACGAATTTACGTAAAATAAACATTCTTCTGAGAGAGTTGCTCTGTCGCTCAGTCTATGCGGGGGTCGGAGCTCGGCGATTATTAAAATACATGAATCTTCATCAGAACTTTAATTATGTCTATGATAAAGTGTTTAAAATGAGCCTTATATTCCTATCTTTCTTGAGGCATATAAAAAATTTACGATTATTTACAAATTTACGTGAAATAAGCATTGTTCTGAGAGAGAGTTGCTCCGTCGATCGATCTGTCCGGAGTCGGAGCTCGGCTATTATAAAAGTACACGTATCTTCGCTTTAAATTTAAATATGCCCATGGTAAGGTATTTAGAACGAAGCTTATATATCTGTCTTTCTTTTGACATATAAAACTCTTACGTTTATTAAGGAATCTGCGTGAAATAGGCATGGTTTTGAGATGAATGCTGCGGTTTTCGAGTTTGACGAGCGATGAAAACTGCCACTTTTATACAACTACAAATATCTTCGGTTTCACTTAAAATATTTGTCTGGTAGAGGTTTTACATATAGATCGCGTTTCTGTCTTTCTTCTGACTAATAAATAATTTTGGTTTAATCAGTTATCAAGATGTTTTCAACAATATTCTTTCAGCGTTCGTCTTTTCCAACTTGGGCGACCCTTTTGGAAGCGCGATACTTGGGTTAACCCATCCTATAGTTGGGTCTGTTTCCAACTGGGGTTCGAATAGTAAAAATAAAAAATAAATAAAATAAAATGTTTATTTAGGTAAGGTACATACATACAATAAATTTTTACAAAGATTGGTTGACTTATAGGTAGAGCTAGTACATACAATGCCTAAAGCCACTATTACGCAAAGCGTTTCGGTACGTACTGTAGTAAACAATGTTATCAGTGCCCACGCTGCTGCTGCTGCTCTTGGAACTCTGCGAGGGAAAGAAGTTGTTGTTTTAGATTCAGCTACTCAGAACAAAAGTTCCAAGTAGCACGGGCTATGGTGAGCCCGTAGTGGACTTACCTGGCACAGGAGCGGGGCTGTGGAGAGGAAAGGAAGGCTTTGTACACTAATATACACTCTACGTCGGCTCCCGGCAGGTAGTTGTATTTCCCAGAGAACCTTATTAAAGTACCCGGAAGCAAGCAACAACTGGTGCATGTATCGCCAGGAGTTACAGGGTTATTGATAGATTTCAAGTTTTCCCTTTGATCGTGGTGCGAGGAAGTCAGCAGATTGATTGATAAAAGATTAAAGCCACCCCAGAGGTGGCACGGCCATGAATAGCCAAAGACAACAGATCTTGCAACGTCATAGACTATTAGTTGCAAGCCTTTAACGTGCAACAAATAAGGATCATATTTTCATCTGAAAGGCATATATTTTCCATAGGCTGTAAGAAAGTGGTTTTGGTGTCAAGTGTCGACCCATAAATCACAGCAACCAAGAAAAATCTGCAGATTTTACACCGCACTTTGATATTTCTAAATTCACACTTACCACAAGAAGATACTGAACAGATCTGAAATGCTAGGAACAGATTCACTTAAGTTTCTGGAGGACATAGGATGTTGTCGACGATGCATTCTGGTCTACCTAGGAGTCCGAACAGATGCTTTATATGGTGGACTGGCAGCTATCAATTCAGCAATTCGGGAAGCCACCGAGGAGCTTAATACAAGCAAGGAGGAGGCAAGTATTAAAACAGACCTGTAAAATGCCTGAGTAGGGGGTGTCGAGTTATTGTTGATCTTGTGCCTATGAAGCAGTCACTTTAGGGCCAAATGGCAGTTGAGTTTTTTTTTTATAAACAAACTTAAGTATACAGGGCAGTGCTGCTATCTTATTCTATATGAAGAATTAGAGAGTCTAGGTAAAAAACTAGCTGATTTTATCTAGTATCTCCATCTATAATAATAATAATAATAATACTAATAGTTATTAATATTAATAATTATAATAATAATTTGTTTACACAAATGTCCATAAATATGAGTCATAAAAGGGGAAGATGCACAGATAAGTATATTGCTTAAAGGCACTAATTCACAGTGAGCATTTCAGGCATAACTTAAGATAAAATTAAGATTGTTTAAAGGTTTGATGAGGTGGACACTTAATACTAACAAGAAGCAGGCTAACATGCAAAATTGTACAAGACATTTTGTAAATTATATACAGTACAGCTTTTAGAGAGAGCACAACATGAAAAGAAGTCAGAGAAAGGGAACAGGTGTTATTAGGAAATAGTGGAACCTCGAATGATGAGCGACTCTAGTTACGAGCATTCCGAGTAACGAGCAAGCCACTTGCAGAAAATTTGTCTCGATTGATGAGCTTTTGCTTGATTAACGAGCAAACCTCACGATGCTTCCTAGCGTTCCCGATAGTTCTCGGACGCCTCCAACGACAGTGTTGTTGTTGTTTCACAAGATGAGCGTTTCACATGACGAGCTCAGTGCCGGAACGGATTAAATTCGTTAATCGAGGCACCACTGTACTTAAAATTAAGGGACATACAGGAACATAATTAAATTGTTGAAAATTATGAAAATACTTGATAACTTATTGAGAGACATAAACAACAGCTGCTTTAACAGTTCATATAAAGTTACACATTTTTAATTGTGTAACATGCAAAATGTAAGTCCACGTGCCCTCTTCCTTTCCCTGCAGGTGTGGTTAGCCTTGTTTTTGGCCTTCACTCACCTGGTTCCACCTTCAAAGCGTCTGAGAGTTTAGCTTTGGGTGTAGCCATCAACCACATCAATAATGCAGGCAGTTGAGCCTTCAGGTCCTGCCAGGGTTTTGAAGCAATTGTCTCCACAACTGCTCACTCCCATCCCCCCCACTCCAAGCCTTCTTCCGAGGACATCTTTCTGTCCCAAGTGTTGGATGAAGACTATGGCTATTCCCCAGAGTCTATGTGGCAGTCTTCTGGGGCTAAGAGGGAGCCAAGGAGTGCCTATGGGTGTTGTTTAACCCTTTGTGGACCTTGGTTACCTCTCTGCAGTATCATTTGCTCCATGGGATAAATTTCATATCATTCTATGTATGAGTATGATTGTTCAGCTGCTGCTCCTTGTGTTCAGTTCCAGGTTCCATTTGGTGCCTCAGAATCATCATAGTTCTGGAGGTTTCCTTCCCATGTTTTCCCTTTGGTGGCTCACACAGATTTGTTTTGGTTTCTCTTGCAGAATTTAGACCATTCTAAATTTGAAATAATGCCGACTCATCACACCAACAGCTGGCAGTGGTGCAGCAGCTGGGACAATGACGCAGGAGGCAGGGAAAGTAACACTGACTGAAAATCCCAAATGAGGCTTAACCAAGTCTGAACCCAGGCCAGAAGAAACTGAGACTTCTGCCAGCATACCAGGAACCTGAACTTGGGGAGCCAGGAAAAACCAGATCCCTGGCTAGCAGACACGCACTCCCATCAGAGGAGAACTGAGGGTGGAGCAGCTGGCTGACCCCTGGCTGCCTCCCTCCCTGAAAACAAGGGAGAGGTGGAGATGCGGCAAATGAGCTGGCACAAGTTTCATGAAATTTTGATAATTTATTAGATTATTGGGAGAGTTCTATTGTGGTTTCTGGGGGTTGCATTCTCATGCAAAGCCAACAATATTTGTTCTTACTTGCCGATTTTTGGTGCCTTCCTCAATGGTGGCATAAATGAGCAACTTAATATATAAATGTCATTGCTTCCTGCTCCTCTGGGAGGGGGGTTATGTTCTGGTTCTTGGTTCCCAGTAGGCCGTAGAACATGACTGATGGAACCTGGTCATATGACACACTAACAAACCAGTGTGACACCCTAACAAGGGGAGCCGGTCGGCTGAGCGGACAGCACACTGGACTTGTGATCCTGTGGTCCTGGGTTCGATCCCAGGCGCCGGCGAGAAACAGTGGGCAAATTTTCTTTCACCCTATGCCCCTGTTACTTAGCAGTAAAATAGGTACCTGGGTGTTAGTCAGCTGTCACGGGCTGCTTCCTGGGGGTGGAGGCCTGGTTGAAGACCAGGCCGCGGGGACACTAAAGCCCCGAAATCATCTCAAGATAACCTCAAGATAACAAAGATGGTAGCTTCAGGGAGCCACCGGGGAACAACCGTGGACATCTTCAAGAGGAAACTAGATTGTTTCCTCCAAGGAGTGCTGGACCAACTGGGCTGTGGTGGATATGTGGGCCTGCGGGCCGCTCCAAGCAACACCCTGGTAGACCAAACTCTCACAAGTCAAGCCTGGCCTCGGGCCAGGCTTGGGGAGTAGAAGAACTCCCAGAACCCCATCAAGCAGGTCTCGCCCAGAATTTGAAGTGTCAGCTTCAATGCTATTTTTTTTTTAACCCTAAACAAATACAGTATAGAGATTGTTGTAAGTGTGGATGCTTTTATTGTATTTTATTTTATATTATTTGCATAAAATAGATTATCATGGGATTACTGTACATACCAGACAAGTTTTTTTTTGTTTTCAAACATATTTATCACTGTCCAGCATCCAAGAATTTCACAAAATGATTAGTCTAGCTTTAGGAATATATAGAAAAATTCTACTCATTATTACTCCCAAAACCCAGCAGTAGAGGACCAGCTGTAAAGTAGTAAACAATATAAAGAGAAAAGCCACAACTCTTGTGAATGGTTATTTGAATGCAAGCATACAAGTGAAATTAGACCTTTATTGTACCCAGTACATTACAAAATTGATACCTATCTTGAGGTTATCTTGAGATGATTTTGGGGCTTAGTGTCCCCGCAGCCCGGTCCTCGACCAGGCCTCCAACCCCAGGAAGCAGCCCGTGACAGCTGACTAACACCCAGGTACCTATTTTACTGCTAGGTAACAGGGGCATAGGGTGAAAGAAACTCTGCCCATTGTTTCTCGCCAGTGCCTATAGTGTAGGGAGTAATGGCAGCTGCTATAATGTAGAGAGTAATGGCAGCTGCTATAATGTAGAAAGTAATGACAGCTGCTATAATGTAGAGAGTAATGGCAGCTGCTATAATGTAGAGAGTAATGGCAGCTGCTATAATGTAGAAAGTAATGACAGCTGCTATAATGTAGAGAGTAATGGCAGCTGCTATAATGTAGAGTAATGACAGCTGCTATAATGTAGGGAGTAATGGCAGCTGCTATAATGTAGAGAGTAATGGCAGCTGCTATAATGTAGAGAGTAATGGCAGCTGCTATAATGTAGAGAGTAATGGCAGCTGCTATAATGTAGAGAGTAATGGCAGCTGTTATAATGTAGAGAGTAATGGCAGCTGCTATAATGTAGGGAGTAATGGCAGCTGCTATAATGTAGAGAGTAATGGCAGCTGCTATAATGTAGGGAGTAATGGCAGCTGCTATAATGTAGAGAGTAATGGCAGCTGTTATAATGTAGAGAGTAATGGCAGCTGCTATAATGTAGAGAGTAATGGCAGCTGCTATAATGTAGAGAGTAATGGCAGCTGCTATAATGTAGAGAGTAATGGCAGCTGCTATAATGTAGAGAGTAATGGCAGCTGCTATAATGTAGAGAGTAATGGCAGCTGCTATAATGTAGGGAGTAATGGCAGCTGCTATAATGTAGAGAGTAATGGCAGCTGCTATAATGTAGAGAGTAATGGCAGCTGCTATAATGTAGAGAGTAATGGCAGCTGCTATAATGTAGAGAGTAATGGCAGCTGCTATAATGTAGAGAGTAATGGCAGCTGCTATAATGTAGGGAGTAATGGCAGCTGCTATAATGTAGAGAGTAATGGCAGCTGCTATAATGTAGAGAGTAATGGCAGCTGCTATAATGTAGAGAGTAATGGCAGCTGCTATAATGTAGAGAGTAATGGCAGCTGCTATAATGTAGAGAGTAATGGCAGCTGCTATAATGTAGAGAGTAATGGCAGCTGCTATAATGTAGAGAGTAATGACAGCTGCTATAATGTAGAGAGTAATGGCAGCTGCTATAATGTAGGGAGTAATGGCAGCTGCTATAATGTAGAGAGTAATGGCAGCTGCTATAATGTAGAGAGTAATGGCAGCTGCTATAATGTAGAGAGTAATGGCAGCTGCTATAATGTAGAGAGTAATGGCAGCTGCTATAATGTAGAGAGTAATGGCAGCTGCTATAATGTAGAGAGTAATGGCAGCTGCTATAATGTAGAGAGTAATGGCAGCTGCTATAATGTAGAGAGTAATGGCAGCTGCTATAATGTAGAGAGTAATGGCAGCTGCTATAATGTAGAGAGTAATGGCAGCTGCTATAATGTAGAGAGTAATGGCAGCTGCTATAATGTAGAGAGTAATGGCAGCTGCTATAATGTAGAGAGTAATGGCAGCTGCTATAATGTAGAGAGTAATGGCAGCTGCTATAATGTAGAGAGTAATGGCAGCTGCTATAATGTAGAGAGTAATGGCAGCTGCTATAATGTAGAGAGTAATGGCAGCTGCTATAATGTAGGGAGTAATGGCAGCTGCTATAATGTAGAGAGTAATGGCAGCTGCTATAATGTAGAGAGTAATGGCAGCTGCTATAATGTAGAGAGTAATGGCAGCTGCTATAATGTAGGGAGTAATGGCAGCTGCTATAATGTAGAGAGTAATGGCAGCTGCTATAATGTAGAGAGTAATGGCAGCTGCTATAATGTAGAGAGTAATGACAGCTGCTATAATGTAGAGAGTAATGGCAGCTGCTATAATGTAGGGAGTAATGGCAGCTGCTATAATGTAGAGAGTAATGGCAGCTGCTATAATGTAGAGAGTAATGGCAGCTGCTATAATGTAGAGAGTAATGGCAGCTGCTATGATGTAGAGAGTAATGGCAGCTGCTATAATGTAGAGAGTAATGGCAGCTGCTATAATGTAGAGAGAAATGGCAGCTGCTATAATGTAGAGAGTAATGGCAGCTGCTATAATGTAGAGAGTAATGGCAGCTGCTATAATGTAGAGAGTAATGGCAGCTGCTATAATGTAGAGAGAAATGGCAGCTGCTATAATGTAGAGAGTAATGGCAGCTGCTATAATGTAGAGAGTAATGGCAGCTGCTATAATGTAGAGAGTAATGGCAGCTGCTATAATGTAGAGAGTAATGGCAGCTGCTATAATGTAGAGAGTAATGGCAGCTGCTATAATGTAGAGAGTAATCAAACATTGAACAAGTTCGTTATTGTATATTCATCTTGACCACTAGCAAAAATCATCAAAGTCAAAATTCTTTTGAATATAATATGGCTATTCAAATCAATTAACTAATTTAGATATGGAAAGTTGGTAGAAAAATATTAAGTAAAAAAGATATAAAAGTTTTACAGTGGTCTTATTACTGGTGTATTACTCATTTACCGTTACTATAATTTTTCAGTACTGTATACTGTATTATGGATTTATTGTTACTTTCATTTACTAGTATATTATGTATTATCTTTGCATTTTTATTCATGTATTACACATTAATATTGCTCTCATTTACTGGTAGGTGATTCATTACCATGATCTGTCTTTGAATTTAGAGCCTTGAAAAGAATGATAAGTTTTGCTGCGTTCTCTGTTCTAAGCTGATTCCTTAGCTTGGTATTTACCTGAAGTATTTACCTCAGTATTTACCTGAATTTACCTGTGGGCCACTGTCTCTCTCTGGCCTCGATGAGACAGGAAGCTGGTGGCTTGTCAAAGGTCCCTATCTCCAGATGATTTTATCCAACTGCATTTTGAATTGCAGCCACGTTTTGGCATATACTGCTACGGAAGGTGTATGCGGTTCCATGGGTTTATAAGCCGGTGGGTGAAAAACCATAGTCTCTTATCTGTCCTACATAGTGGCTTGAAACTGTTGTTCCTTGTTTGTGTTACATCTGACCTTGTAAAGAAGGTCAAATGAAAATATTGTTCAGCATTTTAAGAGTTTCAATGAGACCAGCACTCTCATGTCTCTCTTGCATTGTTGTTAGCCCTGCGGCAACTCAATCGTTTGTGGTATGAGATTCAACTTGGTTCTGGAATGATTTTTGTCACCTAGTTTTGAACTTTTTCCTAAGCAGATATGTGTGTTTCTGAAGATTAGGTCTCCATGCTTGGATACAATAATCTAAGTCAGGACACACCAGAGAATTATACAGTTAAATAACCACCTTCCTTTCATTTCCTTGAAGTTATACGTTTGTTTGACTTTTCCTAGGGTTTGGTTGGCTTTTTCTTGGGAAAGTCATTGTGGCTTCCTGAAGCTGTCACACTGAGATGTGGCTCACTTCTACTAGATTTCATCAGCCTTGGCATTCAATTTTTGCATACTGTACATTGATTTGCTTGTGGTGTAGTTGAAGAACTGATATTTTATAATGTTGACATTGCAAGATATCCCAGCATAGGCGACCAGGGATACCATCCCTGCTTACACCTTCTTTTTACATAGCTAGAACTCCTTGCTTTATGGGATTATTACCTATAATTATTTCCAGTTGTTAATCTTTCTAACCAAAAGTATACATTACAGATAAATATATTTATATACTGTATTTACAGATTGATAATTGTAGCAAAGATTGCAACAATTCCGAATATGAAGAGAATCACAAGCTCAAGAAAACTGTGACCCAAGACCCAAATGAAACTTGCATGAACACTGACGGAGGAGGCATTGTTCCTGACAACGGCACTCCTGCACACGTCATAAAGAAGCAAAAATGTGCCGTTTGTCTCACCTGCATTGGATTGTTACAGTGGGGTTGCTCGGCTGATGCTGTCAAGCTGGTAAGAGATGCTCCGTTAGTCCATCACTCTTTCACATGCTGGTTAATAAACTATTGAATACCGTCTTGCTAAATTTAATGCTAGAGAGACTCACTTGTGTTGTGGGTTTTAATTTTCATATAATGGCTCCCAAATGTGTAATTTATAAACTTTCAGAAAATCTTTTATTATTACCAAACTTTGTATAATTTAGGATAAATTAGAAGAATACATGCCCATAAAAATAGCATGATTATTGGTGTAGTAAATCAAAACTGAATTAAGTTTATTGAGGTATAAATGCACATAAAGGGATGAGGTAGCTCAAGTCATTCTCATCCTGTTCAGTTCAACATACATACATACATACATACATACATACATACATACATACATACATACATACATACATACACACACACACACACACACACACACACATACAAAAAGGTGACACCCCTAGGGTCAACACTTGCAGCAGAGGAGCTCCAGCATATTTCAACAATCCTAAGTATTGTAGTACAGGTTGATGGTAGTGAGTGGTGTCCCAGAGAACATAAAGGTATAGTGCTCTTGAAAAATAGGTGAGATAACAGGAAAGTGCTAAGGGAAGTGAAAAATCGGATGAGAAAAAGTTGCCCTAGGGTTTACAGTGCAGAGAAGAACATTCAAGATGGCCACTGGCAAGGGGAAAAACAAAACAGAGCTTGATTTTGAGGGATTCAATGAAGAAAGCATTGATATTAGTAGTCTACATAACAAGTTGGTAAATTTAGATACTATAGTGAACTCTCATGTAGAAATAATTAGTAAATTGAAAGAAAGTAATGACCATTTGAATAGCAAAGTTTTATGTCTTGAGGGTTTAGTGAAAGACTTGCGCAAGGATAAGAATCAATTGGAAACAAATTGCAAAGCCATGGAAGAAGAAAATAAACTCTTAAAAATAGCTTTGGAAGAAGTTAAAGTAAATTTAAACATAAATGACTACAATAGGTTAGGCAAGGAAATTCAACAGGAGAAACAGCTTTTGTCAGCACAGATGGAGGAAGTTACACAGGGAATAGAACAGTGCAAGAAAGATATGCAACTCACTTATGCACAAGTGGCCAAGGAGAAGGAAAAAATAGAAGAAGCAGTAAAGGAAGTCAAACACTGCAGCAACCAAGATAAAACAAACATTAGGCTAGAAGTGAGGAAAGAATTGGCATCTAACCCGAAGTTGGTGCAAAACACAGTTGATCGGAGTAAGTCCCTGATCATTTTTGGCTGCAAAGAAAAGGCGATAACATCTAGGTCAGAAAGAGCTGTAGAAGAAGCTAAAGTAGTAGATAAAATTGTTGGCCTCGTGGAAGGTCTTACAAACAGAGAGAATGTGTGCGACTACAGGAGAATAGGCAGGTACGTAAAAGGGAAAGATCGACCTTTGAGGATCACCCTAAACGGTGCCAAACAGATGGAAGAAGTACTAAGGAATGCTAGAAAATTGCAAAGGGATGAGGATGGGAAAGGGTGGTCATTAAGACGAGATCTTTCAAAAGAAGATAGAGAGAAGCTGAAACTGAACCTCGCCGAGGCAAAACATTTAAATGAGAGCAGGAATGAAGAAGAAATAAATTCTTTTTTCTACAAAGTGATAGGGGTAGGCAAACCAGTAAAGTGGTACATAAAGGCAAACCAACAAAATCAATAGAGAGAGGGGGAGTGAAGAATAAGGAGAGGGGGAACAAGTTCCTGAAGATTGCATACACCAACATAGATGGAGTGAGATCGAAGATACTGGAGTTAAGTGATGTAATACAGCTGCAGACACCAGACATTGTTGCACTCACGGAGACAAAACTTGAAGATGTAATTTTAAATGAGGTCATATTCCCAAGGGGCTACTCAATTTGGAGACGGGACAGAAAAATTAGGAAAGGCGGTGGCGTTGCTGTGCTGGTAAAAGAACACCTAAAGGTGAAGGAAATAATGACTGCCAATCCACAAGAAGTTGACATAATAGCACTAGAGATCTGCTATGAGGATGATAAACTAATGATGATAAATGCATATAGTCCACCGCCAAGCAGCACATGGTCAAAGGAGGAGCTAGATAGTAAACGTGAAGGTCTTATAACAATAATGAGAGAGATTATAGCGAGAGCGGATAACGATAGATCACGACTGTTGATAGTCGGTGACTTCAACTTGAAATCCATAGACTGGGAAGCATATGAAGCTAAAACAGAAGATTTTTGGACCTGTAAATTTGTAGACCTCATCCTGGAAACATTCTTGTATCAACATGTTAAACAAGCTACTAGTGTTGGCTTCTGTGTTCTCGAGGGTACGGGAAGGTTTTTCGCTACTTCCCGCATTATTGGAACGTCTGTCGGCTCCTAGTACTTGTCGCCCTGTTGGGCTACTTGTCGCCCTGTTGGGCTACTTGTCGCCCTGTTGGGCTACTTGTCGCCCTGTTGGGCTACTTGTCGCCCTGTTGGGCTACTTGTCGCCCTGTTGGGCTACTTGTCGCCCGGTTGGGCTACTTGTCGCCCGGTTGGGCTACTTGTCGGCCGTTTGGGCTACTTGTCGCCCGTTTGGGCTACTTGTCGCCCGTTTGGGTTCCCTTTTTTGGGCTCTTTGCTTCTTTGGCCGGTTTTCTTGTTCCTGCTTCCTCTTTTGGCTCTTTTTCTCGTGCAATAGTCCTGGCTGGCGCCTTCCCGCAGGGAGGGTGTGCGGTTCGGCCAGCATGTTATGCGCATGCGCCGTGGAGTTTGTTTTGGTCTGGGCGATGGTTCAGTGCTGGGGTTTTGCGCCCTTTTTTGCTACAGTGCTTCGCCTCTCGTTCTTCTCCCTGGCTGCGGTATGTGCCCCTTTGCGCCAGGGGTGTCCTGGTTCCCAGTTGTGGGGAGGACACCGCGGTTTTCTGTGTCATGGGTGTGGACCGCCTCCTTCGCCTCTCCCTGTTCTCCTGCGGGTCCGGCTCTGGCGTCTTCACCTGGCGGTGCTCCCAAGTTCTTCTGGGCACGGTTGAGTCGTGTCAAGTTCGAGCCACCATTCGCCAGGTGAGTTTCTGCGGTCTGGCGTCTTTTGGCCGGGCGCTGGATGCGGCGGTGTTCATATACCTGTCTTTATTTAGGTATAATTTTGTACAACTGAGACCGTTCGCACGCCAGTGACTGTCCCTTTATCACCCCTTCCTGTCCCCCTCCTGTGCATGTCCAACCCATGCTACAGTCGTTCAGGGGACCCTCCTTTTTTAATGTTGTGAGGTGTGGGGGTTGTAGGGTTGGTTCTGTACTCACCTGGTGAGGCTCCTGGCTGTGCTTGCAGGATTTGAGCTCTGGCTCTTGGGTCCCGCCTATCTGGTAGAACTTGCGGGATAGTACCAGTGGAGTGCAGTGGTGCTATTGGCACTTTTGGGGAACACTGTATTACCATCAGTGGTCTGTGCTTGTTACACGACCTACTTGCGAGCATAAGCCTTCTTGCTGGTTCGTCCGTGGACTTCCAGGGCGCACTGGCCTGTTTTCGTATGGCAGTTCCGGCCCGTCCTGGTTGTGGGGGTATGTGGGCCGGTGGACTGCTCCTAGCAGCTGCCTGGTGGGCCATCCTCTGGCCGGTCTGGCCTGACCTTGGGCCGGGCTTGAGGTGTAAAAGAGCTCCCAGTACCTCATCCAGACGAGGATGAGGGAAGGGGACGTTCCCTCCATGCTAGATTTGATATTTACCAGGAAGGAGGAAGAGATATTTGACATTCAGTACCTTCCTCCCTTGGGTAAAAGTGACCATGTCTTTTTGGGAATAAAGTATGCAATGCGTTATAAGCTGGAAGAAAATAAGGAGGTTGAAGCAGTTGAAAAACCAGACTTCAGGAGAGGACATTATGGTGACCTTAGAGAACTTTTTGGGAATAAAGTATGCAATGCGTTATAAGCTGGAAGAAAATAAGGAGGTTGAAGCAGTTGAAAAACCAGACTTCAGGAGAGGACATTATGGTGACCTTAGAAATTTTTTTAGTGAGTATAATTGGACAGACTTGATGCTAGGCAAGGAAGTGAATGAGATGTATGGCAAGTTTTGTGAAATATATGATAAAGGCACAAAAAAATTTATACCAAAACAGAGATGCAGAACTAGGAAACAGGATTGGTTCAATAGAAATTGCGAGAGGGCTAGAGACCGAAAGACACAAAAATGGAATCAATACAGGAAGAGGCCGAACCCCCAAACATACCAGCGATACAAAGATGCGAGAAACAACTACACGGCAGTGAGGAGAGAGGCAGAAAGAAATTTTGAAAAAGGGATTGCGGACAAATGTAAAACAGAACCAGGTCTATTCTATAAATTCATAAACAACAAATTGCAGGTAAAGGATAATATTCAGAGGTTGAAAATGGGAAATAGATTCACGGAAGATGAAAAGGAAATGTGTGAAACACTAAACGAAAAGTTCCAAAGTGTGTTTGTACAAAATGAAATCTTTAGGGAACCAGATACAATAAGAATTCCAGAGAACAACATAGAACACATAGAGGTGTCTAGAGACGAAGTGGAAAAAATGCTCAAGGAGCTCGGTAAGAACAAAGCAGCTGGCCCAGATGGCGTTTCACCATGGGTTCTGAGAGAATGTGCATCTGAGCTCAGCATTCCACTTCACCTGATCTTTCAGGCATCCCTGTGTACAGGAATCGTAGCAGACGGGTGGAAACAGGCTAACATAGTTCCAATCTACAAAAGTGGCAGCAGGGAAGACCCCCTCAATTATAGACCTGTATCATTGACAAGTGTAATAGTGAAAGTATTGGAAAAACTAATCAAAACTAAATGGGTAGAACACCTAGAGAGAAATGATATAATATCAGACAGACAGTATGGTTTTCGATCTGGAAGATCCTGTGTATCGAATTTACTCAGTTTCTATGATCGAGCCACAGAGATATTACAGGAAAGAGATGGTTGGGTTGACTGCATCTATCTGGACCTAAAAAAGGCTTTCGACAGAGTTCCACATAAGAGGTTGTTCTGGAAACTGGAAAATATTGGAGGGGTGACAGGTAAGCTTCTATCATGGATGAAAAATTTTCTGACTGATAGAAAAATGAGGGCAGTAATCAGAGGCAATGTATCAGAATGGAGAAATGTCACAAGTGGAGTACCACAGGGTTCAGTTCTTGCACCAGTGATGTTTATTGTGTACATAAATGATCTACCAGTTGGTATACAGAATTATATGAACATGTTTGCTGATGATGCTAAGATAATAGGAAGGATAAGAAATTTAGATGACTGTCATGCCCTTCAAGAAGACCTGGACAAAATAAGTATATGGAGCACCACTTGGCAAATGGAATTTAATGTTAATAAATGTCATGTTATGGAATGTGGAATAGGAGAACATAGACCCCACACAACCTATATATTATGTGAGAAATCTTTAAAGAATTCTGATAAAGAAAGAGATCTAGGAGTGGTTCTAGATAGAAAACTATCACCTGAGGACCACATAAAGAATATTGTGCAAGGAGCCTATGCTATGCTTTCTAACTTCAGAATTGCATTTAAATACATGGATGGCGATATACTAAAGAAATTGTTCATGACTTTTGTTAGGCCAAAGCTAGAATATGCAGCTGTTGTGTGGTGCCCATATCTTAAGAAGCACATCAACAAACTGGAAAAGGTGCAAAGACATGCTACTAAGTGGCTCCCAGAACTGAAGGGCAAGAGCTACGAGGAGAGGTTAGAAGCATTAAATATGCCAAAACTAGAAGACAGAAGAAAAAGAGGTGATATGATCACTACATACAAAATAGTAACAGGAATTGATAAAATCGACAGGGAAGACTTCCTGAGACCTGGAATTTCAAGAACAAGAGGTCATAGATTTAAACTAGCTAAACACAGATGCCGAAGAAATATAAGAAAATTCACCTTCGCAAATAGAGTGGTAGACGGTTGGAACAAGTTAAGTGAGAAGGTGGTGGAGGCCAAGACCGTCAGTAGTTTCAAAGCGTTATATGACAAAGAGTGCTGGGAAGACGGGACACCACGAGCGTAGCTCTCATCCTGTAACTACACTTAGGTAATTACACTTAGGTAATTACACACACACACACACACACACACACACACACACACACACACATACTTGGAAGTTCCAAATGCCCTTGCTGGGACTAGAACTTCCGCTTGTGTGATGCAAAGCCGAGTGCTGTACCATTGTACCATCACCCTACAAAAGTATAGGAGAGTCTTTATGAACCCATTCAACCCCATGGCTGAGTGTATTCGGGTTATGTGGTTAACTATTTCATCTAGTCCAGGTTTAAGCCACAGAACAGGAAATATCAAATGATAAACCAGAATAGTACACAGGTGTAGGTGTTCCATCATGTAGGTGGAAGTTCTAGTCCCAGTTTAGTTTAGTTCATTTATTTTGCACCCCATACCCCATCCTGTGGGTGGTAGTGGAAAGGGTTACAGAGGCACATAATGGGCTCAGTGACTGAACCCCAGAATTCATGTAGCTAAGCCAGTTACAGTCTTGATGAGCTAGTTGCAATATTCATTATACGTCGTCACATCATCAATGGATTCGAGATCAACCAAAAGTACAGTTTCTTAAATAGGCAACTGACAGCAAGGGCATTTGGAACTTTGTAGTATTTAAAGTGAGGGCTGTGTACTATGTGAACGGCATGTGTATGCCCACTACACGCCCACGTACGTGCAGTGGGTGTAGATAAGTGCTCAGCCCTGGCGCCCTTGTTGGCGGTTCCCAGGGCTCAGGGGTCTGATTGGAGCTCCTGGGTTTCTTCTGACCTTATGTGGGCCCTTGTACCCTCCCCGCTGGGTCTGCTTTTGCAGGGTATCAGATTTCCGTATCCCCCTTCCTCTTTATGAGTTTGAGTTGGGTGGGGCTTCCTCTAGGGTTCATTTCTGGGTGCCTTTGGGCGCCTCGGGTTTGTTTGGGCGCTAGAAGCAATCTTAATGAGTGGCTTTAGAGAACCACTGGGGCTATTCCAGAAAGAGGCATTTTATTTTGAATGCTGCCTTTTTGTATCTGTTTGGAGATAATTTTCTCACTTGTCCAAGTGTGATAGAGCCACTTAGAGTTTAAAGTAAATATTCTATATTACAAATGCTTTTGTTAAAATTTTGTCTCATGTAGTTTTGTATATTTCAGCTGAATGACTCTGTATCACAAGCAGGACATGATGCAGAATGCTTCACTCTAGCACTGTCCTTTCCAGTCAGTCTGAGTCTGCGAGTTCATTGGGTCTGGGCACTTCTGCTGCAGGCTTATCCACACTTCCCGACAAAAGTATGAATCTTAATCATTTTTCAACATTTCTTGTATCAGTGATATAGACTTTCCACAGGAAGAAAACAAACAAGCAACACTTCATCCAACTAACACTCTAGCTCGTTAACGCTTAACCCCCCTTCCCAAAGGGGGAAGGGGAAGCTGGCTCAAGTGAGCCGGCAACCCACCTCCTCAGTTCTTGAACTGATGTCCTGGTGGTCAGATTGGTCACCTCTGCCCTAAATTTCCTGGCTGGTAGAACCATTTTCGTCAGCCGGATCAGCACCGGGTAGGTACAGTGATCAGGTTGGTGTTATGGAGCAAACAGTTGTTCCATAGCTTCCTCGCTTGAGTAGAGGAATTCTACACTGACATTGTCGGGGGCGGATGTCCAGTGGTGCAGCATTGGTGGTGCTGATGACTTTTTTATAGTATCTGAGCCCTGGTGACTGGTTTTCCCCAGAAACCGGACTTTGATGCGGTAAATCATAACGAGGTATCTCTATGACTTACGCATCATTGGAGATTGCCTACCATCTCTACTCGGTATATTGTACCAAGTTGGGGAGTGGGGTCTTGAGGCCAGTCAAGTCTGGCCTCGGGCAGGGCTTGGGGAGTAGAACTCCCAGAACCCCATCAAGCAGGGTTTAACAATCTAGAATGAAGCTAGCTTTTCTGCCTTATATTTACCCACCCGACAGTACTGGGTGCTAGAGCTCTTCCTTCTCTTCTCTATGCTCGGTTCCTAAACTTGTCGGTTGTATTGTTCCTCAGGTTTCCTTCTTCTCGGATTTTCCTTGGGGAGATTCAGGAGGCCTTTGGCGAGTACCTCCTGCAAGACATGGTTTACGCCTTGGTGATGGATCCGGCTTTGTTTGAGTTAGGTTCTTCTGTCCCACATTGGGTGTGTTATGAGGTTCTAGTCTTCCTGGCTAGCAGACCTTTCTTCTCTAGGAGCTTGGTGCAGCATTTATTGTACCAGCGCTTGAGTGGCGAGAGGTCTCTTCAGTGTTGCAAGTATTTTTGGGGGCTCCCTCGAGTTCCTCATTGAGTGCCTCTTCGCTCCTGCATTTCCTTGTGATATGGGTCTGGTGCAATTGCACGCTCAGGTTCCAACTCTTTCGTCTTCTTTGGCCACTGATGACCTTCAGGTTTGCAGTCATTTGGCCTCAGTCACGTGCTTCTTTGGTCTTCTGTAGCTGTCTTCAGACTGGCTTTTGGAGGATGTGGGGGCATTGAGTGTGGGACCTTCGACTGGGTTTCTGGTTTCGGCTGCTGCGGCATTGTCTGCCTTGCTGAAGCTGTTTGCGCCAATCCTCCGGGAGGTGGTTTCTATGTTTTTCAACTTTTGTATCGCGTGTCGACTGGCCGTCTTTGCTCTCTCTTTGGATTCAGCTTGGGCCCCTGGCTGTGCAGTCTTCTATGTCATTCTGTCCTCTGTTGTGCCCTGAGGACTGTGTTGCCCAGTTTTTGTCAGCGGCTTCAACCAGTTGCTGCCGATATACTGTATACCAATATATAAGTCTTTGACCATATTAGACTTGTTGGTGATCTGGGGGAGGGGGTCGTTTTAGGACCTCTTAGTTGGGTTATGCCAGGGTTCGGGCCTTGTTTGGTTAGGGTAGGTCTTTAGTGCCAGTTTCTGCATCGGTGTGTTTCCCAGGGCCTTTTTCGTCTGGTCGGCGCAGTGTTTGCTCTGTGCGGCGATTGGTTTCTCGGGGTTCATGTTGCTCCTTTTGCGGGTCGCCCCTAATCTAATTGATAGGGCAATAGGGGGAGGCTAGCTCTTTTTGCCCGTGCTTGGTCCCACGATTCGTGGGCTTTTTGGGTCATCTCTTGCTGCTTTTGGTGGCATTGGGCAAGCCGTCCCTCTGTCGGGAAAGCAGGCGGGTCTTGGGGGACAGGCCTCTTCCCCATCCCTCTGTCAGGTCGTCTCAGAGTGGCTTCGCTTGGGCGTGGTCGAAAAGACCTCATCTCTCAAGTCAGTTTCCCCGCTTGTTTCGAGTTCAGAAACAAGACTGTGCGAATCTCCGGTACATTCTGGACTTGTCTCATCTGAATCAGGTGATTCCTTGCCCCTCCTTTCGGATGACCACATTGTCCCTGATCTGGCTTCTTCTCGAGCTAAGCGCTTGGATGATTTCCCTGGACCTCAAGGACGCTTATTGCTACATCCATGTTCATCTGGGTTTCAGGGATTGGTTGGTTTTCGTGGTGGGGCGAAAAGCTTACAGTTTTCGTTGTCTCCCATTTGGCTTGAATCTGGCACCTCACATTTTCACGCACCTAACCAGGGTCGTGGTGGCCCATCTGCGTCTGCTAGGTCTTCGGGTTCTGGCCTACCTCGACGACTGGTTGGTGTGGGCTCCCAGCCAGTCTGCTTGTCTGCTAGCCAAGAATCTCAGATCTTCTTTCCCAGCTTGCCGGGTTCGGGTTCATGGTAAATTGATGGTAGTCCCAGTTGGTTCCATCCCAGGTTCGGACTTAGCTGGGCCTAGTGTGGGATTCTCGGACTGCAACTATTCCTCTCTCCTGCGGCTTTGCTCTGGTTGCAGTCTCATTCAGTTGTTTTTGAGGGGGGACCTGGATCACTTGGTGGTTGCTCGAGCAGTTGTGAGGGAGCCTGAACTTTGCCCTGCTGGTTTATCCGCTGTGCAGGGTTTGTTTTCTGAGGCTGTTCTGGTGTCTCGGAGCAACCTCCTTCTATTCCAAGTGGTGGGCGGGGATGTTGGCTCTGCTCCAGGGGCCCTCTTCTGTAGTTCCCAGAGCTTGGGAGGAGTTAGAGTTGGGCCTTGGGTCCTATTTGACACTTTGTGAGCTCTGGTGCTGTCTGTGGAGGGTCTTTTGTTGCAGGGAGTGGAGTTTCTTATCCTCCCTGCCTGTAAGAGTTCAATATGGGTGTGGCTCTCCCAAGCGTTCATTTCAGAGTACATTTGGGTTCTTCAATTTCATCATTCCAGATGTTTTCTACCTCCTGAGTCCTCCAGGCAGCAGCTCAGGAGGTCTTTTGTGTGTACTGTACCTCTTGCTCGACCCAGATTCAGCCTTGGTGATGTACCTGGGCTCTTTTGAATTCAGTTTTTCTTCCCATTATTGGAGTACATTAACGAGGTTCTGGAGTCGTCCTGGTTAACAAACTGTTCTTTGTTTACCCTTGGGGCTTGGCGTGGTTTCTATCATTACCCCCATGCTTAACACTTTAGTCCGGGCATGACGCAGCATTGCGTCATCCGATTACTGTCGGTAATCTGAGGGATGATGCAGCATTGCGTCATCCCTGGCTGGTGAAAGGCTGGGACCCAAATCGCACAGTTGAGGGGTGGCGGGCGGGGCACGCCAAAGTGTTAAGTGGTAGGTGGTGTCTCTTATTTTGCAGGTGTTTCATTGGGGCATGGGGGTGGTCTCCTTTGAGCCTCTCATTCCCTGCCTCTTTGCTCCTGCTCTCTCCTGTGATGTAGATCTCCTGCAGCTGCATGCGTCTCTTATGTCAGCTGAATTGGTTTCTGACAACTTTGTGCCTGCTCACTTTTGAGCCTTCTGGAGCTGCTTTTCGATTGGGTCATGGAGGATGTTGGCGCACTCGGCGAGGCCCCTCTCGTAGGGTTTTGGTGGCTACTGCCACTGTTGGCGCACTGCGTCAATAATCCTCCTGAACCAGTATGCTCTGGTTCTCAGGGAGACGGTGGTCACATTTTTTGCCTCCCGTTTAGCATGTCAGCAGGTTATCCTGACCTGATCCTTGGAATTGGCATGGACCCAGTATACCTTCTTTGCTTCTTCCTTTTCCTCGCTTCTGTTTTGTAGAAATTGGTTTCCTAGTTCCTGTCATCTGATTTCCAGTTTCATGACCAAAGAGTTTGGCATAGGACCAAAGAGCCAAAACTCAACCCCTGTAAGCACAACTAAGTGACATGGGGGAGGGAGAAGGATGAAGAGTTGAAATTCTGGAAAAGAATGTGGCTGATGAATGAGGAGGCTTGAAAGTTTGGTGAGCTGGCCACCATTGGTTGGCATTAGGTATTGATCTTGAAGTTAATGTTGAGTTTACTTGATCGGCAGGAGGCTAGGGCATGAATGGAGTCTTCTGACTGTGACTGACCTATGATACAACACATTCTTATCTTAGGGAGCAACCCAATGACTACTCATAACGGTGCTTTACACATTGTCTCAAAGCTTCATTTTGATGCCTCTTAAATAAATTTATTGTGGTATATTTAATAAAAAATTGCTTGTATCAAAGTGCAAATATGCAAGTGTGCATGTTTTATGTTGTGTTGTATTATTTATTTATATGCCGTAAGGTATTTAATATAAAACTTTGGCAGGGGCGTGATGATCATGTTGGCACTATCAAAGATGTCTGGAAGAATGTAGTTGGTCCCCAAGTTGCAGAAGTGGTTGGGAAAACCTTTATTGTTGGGCCTTACCAGGACTTTGTTCTCAATGTCACATCTACATACATTCATGACTTGGAAGACTGTAAGATAATGTGAGTACCATACTTGTATTGATTCCAGTCAATATTAAAAAACAATGTCACACATTTATATGATTGAAATTACTTAGATACTGCATTCTGAAACTTTGTCTGATCTCGTCAAACAGTATTCTTTTGTAATTGTTCATATATGTTTGGAGAATTAATTTTGTTAGGAAAATGTTTTAAACAACACTTTGCTGTCTACAGGGACCAGCTGTGTGGAAGCATATTTGCAGCACGTCAAAAGCAACATAGAAAGTACTCCAACGGTATATATTCCAAACAGGCAGTAGACACAGCCATTAAGAAATTACCTGATCAAGAATTTCTTAAGGTTTGTCCATCCCCTCCTTCCATACCAGATGAAGCAGTCTCATTTTCAAGTCTTCAGTGCCAACAGGCACCACTATACATGGCTGGTAAAACACATTCACAAGCTGTAACTTACTGATTTAATGATAGGAAGTCTTAGGGGACAATGGGGGAATGCCTAATGTATTTAGTGTAAACATATTATTATATTTTTGCAACGTATACACTATTGGGTGAACAAGTTTCACATAAAATTGGTGTTTCATTACATTCAACGCTGGTTTTCTGTGGGAAGCTCCGTCGGCTCCTTGGAGCTATTGGACTGATATTAGCTAATATTAGTATGGGGCTTCAGTCATATGGAGTTGTCATGCCTACTGGAGATGGCTAGCCAGAACATGGTCCCCTCAGAGAGGCACAGGGAGCAATGGCCTATGAAACTTCCTTGTATGAAAGTTTTTTGGTCTACCATCGACCGGTGTTAGACACCCAGAAATTTAGGCGCCCCAAAACAGGCCCCAACTGGTAGGAAAATTGCAACAGGAGACCAAACAAAGGGTAGAAACTTTCTTCAAAGCAAACAAGAAACAAACAACATGTCATCACACCATGTGCCGCTCATTAGTGACTACTCCCCCCTCCTCCAGGAGGGGGGGAAGGGTCTCTGCCCACATAGCCGGCCGTCGGACCATTAGTTTGTCGACCAAAGCTAAACGGGGTGGACGTTTACTCTATTCTCAGTTGCCTGACAGGCTTTTCACCCAGTTGGTGTTCCTGCTGTACACTGAGCAGTGGCCAGGAATTGGTGCCAAGGGCTGCATGTGCTTAGGGCTTCCCCTCCCTAAGTGCCCTGTGTGTACAACCCTTGAAGTTCAGGGTTGCCTTCCCTGGATTCATCGGGCTCCCATTCCCATAGAGGTAGCGGTTGCTTGACTTCTGCCTCTCCCTTGGGGTCAGCTTAGATCTCGGTGCTTTTGTTTGGCCCTGGGTAGGGGGTGGTTGTTGCTGGTTGGGGCGCACTGGGCTGCACAGCTTGCATAATCGTAGCGGCTGAGCATCTTTCTGGTCCTCTGGGTTGTGTTGTTTCTTCGGAGTTCTCTTTCCTCCTTTTAGCTTTCTTTATTGCCTGTTGGGAGGCTGCCGAGGTTCCTTTTAGGTGATACCTAGGTTCAGTAGGGCAGTCCTTTGGGCCTCAGAGGTTGGTCCCCTCATGGGCCAGTTTGCTCATATAATATAAGGGGTTACAACCGGCTTTGGCAGCTCTAGTGCCTGGGCTTTCCATAGGGATACATTCCCTCTACAGGCCCTAGAAACCCCCGTCGGGGCTTGGTTGACCGATGGATGTGTCCTCCGAGCCCCATCTCACCTTGTGTGAGTTTGAGGATTGTTCGTTACCCCTGTCTTAGGGTGATAATCACCTGTTCTGCCTCTGTCATGCTGCTTGTTGGGTCGACGACACCTACGACATGGAGTCTTGCAAAACTTGTTCTCCGCTCGTGCTCCAATTTACCCATTGTGCTTTAGCTGAGGTTCGGGGTCAAGTAGCATGCGTGTTGTATGCTAGGTTTAAGTTGTCGCAACGTGCTAGGTTGGTTGCCCACTCAAATGCCCCGGGGCTGCCTCGTTTTGGTTTTAGGGACCCGGATTTGGGGGGGGGGGGCGTTGATCTTTTCGACCTTGGTTCAGTCCGTGCCCCTTCGCCCGTGCCCCTGTTGCCGGCTCCCAAACATCTGAGGGTTTCGGAGTTGGGGCATGGTTTAGCTGGGAATGAGACTTGGGTGGCTCCAGGGGTTGTCCCATTCGATGTGGAGACGGAGGCATTCGGGCCTGTTCCTCGTGCCAAGGCCTCTGGGTCCTTCCAGCAGGACTTTTCTTTGCTGCCTTTCCCTTGGACTCTGCCTTTTCTTCAAGGGTGGAGGGCATTGAGGGCTGCGTTGGCCTGGTTCCTGGTTTGGATGATTCCGGGGCTGGAGAGGAAGTAGCCTGGAAGTGCATTAACCAGTTTTGATCCCGCGTGGGCTTTGGTGCCTTCGGGGCAGAGTCTGCTGTTGCAAGGTTCGAGGTTTTCATGTCCATCTTCCTTGTATGAATTTGATGAGAGTTCGCCCCCCCCCCCTCCCGGGGTTTGTTTCCAGGTTCCCTTGAATTTCACGGCTTCGTCATTCCGCAGGTTTTCTACTTTTTGGATGTTCCCTGTGGAGGTCTGGGAGACCCTCGATGCCTACCTTCTATGACCTCCTATGAGACCCGGATTTCGTCTCTGTGATGGACCCGGTCTCCATTGAGTTCGGGTCTTCTTCCCCGTATTGGGTGCATTATGAGGTCTCGACATCTTACTATAATGCTGCATCAAAATTAATGTTTTACCACTAGGTATTGAAGTTTATGCATCTGGCAGGCAAATGAAAGTAGCATCATTCCTGTTCCTCAAATAATGCCGAGCCGGTCGGCCGAGCGGACAGCACGCTGGACTTGTGATCCTGTGGTCCCGGGTTCGATCCCGGGTACCGGCGAGAAACAATGGGCAGAGTTTCTTTCACCCTATGCCCCTGTTACCTAGCAGTAAAATAGGTACCTGGGTGTTAGTCAGCTGTCACGGGCTGCTTCTTGGGGGTGGAGGCCTGGTCGAGGACCGGGCCGCGGGGACACTAAAGCCCCGAAATCATCTCAAGATAATCTCAAGATAATCAAGAGCCATACAATGAGCCTTGTGCCACAGGGAGAACATAAGCAATCAGCGGCTAAGCGGATATACTGTTTCGCAGCTTAGTGTATCTTAGTTATATAAATTCTTCTTGAATTGGGCATATTTAAGGAATTAGAGAATAGATCGTCATAGGCACCACCATAGGTTTTGTGTTGAGCAAGTAAAATAAGATGTGTTTGCTTAGAAGAAGGAAAAAGGATATTACTCGAACATAGAAAATGTTGAAAGCATTGCTACAAGAGCTTTAACATAAGGTAGAAAAATTGGATAAAGGTGAGGAAATATTCAAACACGATAGGGGTAAATTTATAAATTATAGAATTATAAATTATAAATTAAATTAAATTAAATTTATAGTGACTTATAAAATATATTTGTGTGACCAGTTCATGGAAAAAAAACACTTGGATAAACATTGTATATTCGTGTTTTCAGTAATAATAATCCTGTTTATTTTGACCAGACCACACACTAGAAGTTGAAGGGACGACGACGTTTCGGTCCGTCCTGGACCATTCTCAATCTACTCACAATCGACTTGAGAATGGTCCAGGACAGACCGAAACGTCGTCATCCCTTCAACTTCTAGTGTGTGGTCTGGTCAACATACTTCAGCCACGTTATTGTGACTCATCGCCTGCAATCCTGCAATGGCTAAAACTTATGTTTCATTTGTTTTCTTCGCAGGTCGGTACAACAAGTACAGCAGAGACTTGCCGCAGACACCATGGTTTGTTGAGGGTGAACGCAAACTACAATCCAGTGTGCAGGAGCTGTTGTGTGAACGACTTAGTCAGGCTGTTTGTGCCGATGGTAAGCTCGCTTCTCATTTATATACCATTTGAAAATAATTAATTACATGTATTTTACATGTAACTAACATGTAAATTTTACATGTAACATGTATTAATTACTTGTAATTGCATGTATACATGTAACATAGTGGCACGTTTTATACACGAGAAGCCGAAGTTATTTATGAGTGGCTGTTGGGGGGGGGGTATATATGAGTGGCGGCAGTTACACGTGAGTGGCAGGGGTTACTCATGAGGGGCAGGAGGCTACTTATAAGTAGCAGGGGTTACACATAAGTGGCGGGGGCTACTCACAAGTAGCAAGGGTTACACATAAGTGGCAGGGGCTACTCACAAGTAGCAAGGGTTACACATAAGTGGCAGGGGCTACTCACAAGTAGCAAGGGTTACACATAAGTGGCAGGGGCTACTCACAAGTAGCAAGTGACACATAAGTGGCAGGGGCTACTCACAAGTAGCAAGGGTTACACATAAGTGGCAGGGGGCTACTTACAAGTAGCAAGTGACACATAAGTGGCAGGGGCTACTCACAAGTAGCAAGGGTTACACATAAGTGGCGGGGGCTACTCACAAGTAGCAAGGGTTACACATAAGTGGCAGGGGCTACTCACAAGTAGCAGGGGTTACACATAAGTGGCAGGGGCTACTCACAAGTAGCAAGGGTTACACATAAGTGGCAGGGGCTACTCACAAGTAACAAGGGTTACACATAAGTGGCAGGGGCTACTCACAAGTAGCAAGGGTTACACATAAGTGGCAGGGGCTACTCACAAGTAGCAAGGGTTACACATAAGTGGCAGGGGCTACTCACAAGTAGCAAGTGACACATAAGTGGCAGGGGGCTACTCACAAGTAGCAAGGGTTACACATAAGTGGCAGGGGCTACTCACAAGTAGCAAGGGTTACACATAAGTGGCGGGGGCTACTCACAAGTAACAAGGGTTACACATAAGTGGCAGGGGCTACTCACAAGTAACAAGGGTTACACATAAGTGGCAGGGGCTACTCACAAGTAGCAAGGGTTACACATAAGTGGCAGGGGCTACTCACAAGTAGCAAGGGTTACACATAAGTGGCGGGGGCTACTCACAAGTAACAAGGGTTACACATAAGTGGCAGGGGGCTACTCACAAGTAACAAGGGTTACACATAAGTGGCGGGGGCTACTTACAAGTAGCAAGGGTTACACTTAAGTGGCGAGGGCTACTCACAAGTAGCAAGGGTTACACATAAGTGGCGGGGGCTACTCACAAGTAGCAAGGGTTACACATAAGTGGCAGGGGCTACTCACAAGTAGCAAGGGTTACACATAAGTGGCAGGGGCTACTCACAAGTAGCAAGGGTTACACATAAGTGGCAGGGGGCTACTTACAAGTAGCAAGGGTTACACATAAGTGGCAGGGGCTACTCACAAGTAGCAAGGGTTACACATAAGTGGCAGGGGCTACTCACAAGTAGCAAGGGTTACACATAAGTGGCAGGGGGCTACTTACAAGTAGCAAGGGTTACACATAAGTGGCAGAGGCTACTCACAAGTAGCAAGGGTTACACATAAGTGGCAGGGGGCTACTTACAAGTAGCAAGGGTTACACATAAGTGGCAGGGGCTACTCACAAGTAGCAAGGGTTACACATAAGTGGCAGGGGCTACTCACAAGTAGCAAGGGTTACACATAAGTGGCAGGGGCTACTCACAAGTAGCAAGGGTTACACATAAGTGGCGGGGGCTACTCACAAGTAGCAAGGGTTACACATAAGTGGCAGGGGCTACTCACAAGTAGCAAGGGTTACACATAAGTGGCAGGGGCTACTCACAAGTAGCAAGGGTTACACATAAGTGGCAGGGGCTACTCACAAGTAGCAAGGGTTACACATAAGTGGCAGGGGCTACTCACAAGTAGCAAGGGTTACACATAAGTGGCGGGGGCTACTCAAAAGTAACAAGGGTTACACATAAGTGGCAGGGGCTACTCACAAGTAGCAAGGGTTACACATAAGTGGCAGGGGCTACTCACAAGTAGCAAGGGTTACACATAAGTGGCAGGGGCTACTAACAAGTAGCAAGGGTTACACATAAGTGGCAGGGGCTACTCACAAGTAGCAAGGGTTACACATAAGTGGCAGGGGCTACTCACAAGTAGCAAGGGTTACACATAAGTGGCAGGGGGCTACTTACAAGTAGCAAGTGACACATAAGTGGCAGGGGCTACTTACAAGTAACAGGAATAATAAATTTTATATAATAAAAATATATATACAGTACTGTATATACTACAAGTATTTGTAGTATATCCAGTATATATATTTTTATCATGCAAACACATGTTAGGCATTTTTAAGTGGCATCCAAATTGACATGCAGAATAGTTTAGGAAATGTATATACAGTACATAATAATGCATTGCAATATTGAGATGTTAAATTCCTTAATATTAGATGTTCAATTCCTTAACTGTAGCCTCTGTTTAACGCAACAGTAAAATGTGTACTTGGATGAAAAAACGATTCTTCGCGGCGGGGATCGTATTCCAGGAACCTGCCCGAAACGCAACGCGTACTAGTGGCTGTACAAGAATGTAACAACTCTTGTATATACTGTATCTCAAAAAAAAAAAAAAAAAAAAATATAGAAATGAACCCCTGCAAAATTATTTTAACCCCTGCAGTGTGCATAGTGCCTTAATTCAGACAAATTTTTACACTACATACCTTACCGGGTGGTGCAAAAAATGATCGAGTTAAGAAATATTTTAATTTTTTTTTTAATTTTTGTTCACTATGGCTTCAAATTCAAATTGTTGACTTTGCCAATATTTTGACATTTTTTCACATTTTACATAACTTCAATTAATGTTAATAATTTATCAACCTGTGCATCATGACATTGTTACATGAAACAGGTGTGCAGTGCAGGAACTAATCTTTTCTTTTGAATGATGAGTGATCCTTTAGTTATGAGATACAACCAATCTTCTTAAATTGAAGATCTTCAATCTTCAATCAATCGAAAGTGTTAATAATTATCACTTTCACGCTTTGGTGCCTCTTGAGCGAGTCAACTATTTGTGATAATAATTTGAAAGTGTAAATTACAATTATTTGCCATTCGTAATAGATGACTGAGTATTGCTTTAAGCTTTATTTACTTTAAGATTTTATAGAAGTATACAAGTTATTAAGTCATATGTGTTCTTGTTCTTTTTTCTTGGCCAGATGTCAAGTTTTCCTCGTCAGGACGAGAAGATGTTGATGTTCGGTGTCTCGGGAATGGCCGACCGTTTGTATTTGAATTTATTAATCCATGTCGTTCCAAATTCTCCAGGGCTGATTTAATTAAACTACAGAATTTAATAAATGGTTCCACAAGCTTGATTCATCTGAGGGACCTTCAAATTGTTGACAGGTAAGATACATACGGGTCTGCTTGTATTTGGTTCCAGAGACATGTTCATATCATGTACTGTATAGTGTTATTGTACATTTATTTCGCAGCCATCATAGCAGAGAAGGTTTAATTCAGCAGTCTGTAGGCACTTTTAAGTTATTGATGCTCTCAATGAATAAAGATATTAAGTTTAATCGACTTGAGAATGGTCCAGGACGGACCGAAACGTCGTCGTCCCTTCACCTTCTAGTGTGTGGTCTGGTCAACATAATAAGTTTATTACGTTTACTGAAAAATAGTATTGAATGAATTACAAGATGAGATTTGTTATTCTGCAAGATGACACTGAAATTGATGCATTACTTGGGATACCCACAGATATATTTAAGAAAAAATGGGGGTGCCAAATTTTCGTTGTTTCTCCAAGTCTCCAGCTACCCTTAACACTATTCTCTAAACAGCAAGACATATTATTAATTTTTAATCCTTGTAGTGTGGTCATTGTCATGTGTTGATCTCTTGGGTCACTGCAGTTATCATCATTTAACAATTATCACTATTATTTTCTAATTTGTATACCAGTGATGGTAATGTAATAGTCATTATTGCTCTATATGGATGTCATGAATTTAATTAACCAAGGATCATGAAAAAATGGTGCTATCATTTTGTAATTACTTACTATGGAAATGAGGTTATTCTGTACTAGGGGCTGCGGTTATTGTTAACTCTTCGGCCGCGCATCCCTTCATATGAAAGGGATGTCGAGCCGAGCCACAAGTCGAGCCTGGCCTCACAAGTCGAGCCTGGCCTCGGGCCGGGCTTGGGGAGTAGAAGAACTCCCAGAACCCCATCAACCAGGTATCAACCAGGTATGATGGGGTAGCTAAATGTGCTCAGACTGTGCATCACATCATATGAAGTGTTAGGGAACTGTACAAGATTTAAGTCTTCCACATACATGTAGTTCACAGTTCCTTCTTCAGGCCTCCAGTAACAATCCCCCATTTTGGAAAAAAAAACTGGAGTTCCTTAACATTCCTTCTAGGGCCTTAGTAAAAAAAAAATTAAGGACCATATCTGGCAATATCATCCATCCACCCAAGGGGGGTGGTAGGAGAAGCGAACACTCTTACGTATTCAGAGTTAAATGGCAAGTTTTTCCCTGAATGCTCTGTGTTCCCTTCTCTGAGGCTGTGGTTCCTTATAATTGCACCAGAGGTGGTACCCCCTATATATATATATATATATATATATATATATATATATATATATATATATATATATATATATATATATATATATATATATATATATATATATATTATATATATATATATATATATATATATATATATATATATATATATATATATATATATATATATATATATATATATATATATATATATATATATATATATATATATATATATATATATATATATATATATATATATATATATATATATATATATATATATATGAATATATACATACATACAGTATATAAATATTTAGGGGTACCACAACTGGTGCAATTGAAGGGACCCACATCCTCAAAGAAGAAAATAAAGTGTGTTCAGAGAAGACCTTGTGGATCCTCACTAAACACTTTAATCTTTTCCTCTCCTACCACCCCTATTAGTTTTTATTAATTTTGTTTTATTTAATTTTATTGCATTGCTACAGTTTACAGAGAATACACACTTATATAACAATATAACAATCAGTGTTCGAAGACCTCGTCCAGCTCTTCGGAGGTTGAGTGCGTAACCAAGATATGACAAGCATTTCCCCTCAGAACTGCGACACTGAGGCACTGGAACAGGAAACTGGCTGCTCTTGAGTCTTTAGTTTTCCCAATGAGGTCCTCACCCAACTCCTTTAGGAACTTAAGTGCACATTTACCCCAGGCGCCCAGAATCTCAGAGCCTATCGGCACGAACCTGTAACAACATTCTAGGTCCATGTACTTGTTGGTTTTCTGGGTCTCTCTGAAGGTGGCCGTCCCGCCTCCCTCAACTGTGCTGTAAGGTAGATAGGTATCAGCCAATGTAGACACACATGTGTAATCCCATACAACCTGTTTACCTTCCCTCCATTGCTGCAGGGTGACTCCATCTGGGCATTTTTGGCTGTTGTCAGGTCTGCACAACTGAGGTTCCCTTTGTGCTGGACACCCAGCTGTAGCCAAACTTCTCTCGATGATGTCATTGACTGCTTCATGTCTGGCAATCTTTCTCTGTGACTTACGACAGACGAGATCATGGCTGCCGTATTGGTCCGCCTGTGCATGACTGCAAATACACCGGTGTTCGGTGGAGATAGGGGTGGCAAGGCGCAGGGCGACACCAATACTTAGGGCCTGATGGTCCAGGCGGGTGCCCAAGGCGGAATTTGGGACTGCCAACAGGAAGTCCCTGGCATGGGGAGCTTGCACAGCTAGAAGACGCACTCTGTCCTTCCCAGAAGCTGCCTCCAGCAATGATGTGGCGATTTTCTCCACTATGGGCTATCCCATTTGGCCTGTTTGCAGTCATTTGGAAAAGTTGGTCAAGGGTGAGAGTTGGCAAGAGTGTCCCACTGACCGGCTCCTTCCGCGAATTTGGGATCATGAATCCCAATGGAGTCTCTTAGGTATTCTGGTAGTATTTCTCAACTAGTTCACCTGTAGGACTGGTCGAGGATAAGAATGCCGGCAATGCTAACTGTGTCGCCTTGCGAATACCTATTCCCCCGAGTCTAACTGGGAGCGTTACTTGGTCCCATTGGTCCTCTTGCAAGGAGAGGTTTAACACTTTCATGGTTATTGACCTTAGGAGTGAGTCATATTCTGTTAATTTTGGGCTGTCAAAGGAGGGAGCACACCTTAGGAAATAGGTCAGTCTGGGCAAAGCCAGGCCTTGTGAGAAGCATTGTGGAAATCCAAAGCCCCTATTCTTCCCTCCATCCTCCTCAGGTTGTTCAGCTTTTCCTTGAGGATTACCTCAATGGCGCTCGAGCCCAGAGATGCCCATAGCAGCACACTGTTGGTGGGAACGATCACTGGGGCTCCTGGCAATATGATTCATACTAGATCTATGATTGGTTGGCTGGATGAGATGATTTCACACTTTGATGGGTTTAGGGTGAGTCCTAACTCCTCGCCCTTAGATTTCACCAGCTGTAGATCTTCTAGCAGGGACTCCTGTGTCCCTGCCAGGGTGCCATCGTCTAGGAACCAGATGTTGAGTTCAGTGGTCAACCTGCTTGTGACCTCATTAATATCCCTCCATAATATCTAGTGCCCTCTACCCTGTGACGTCACAGATTCGCGGCACAGTTTCGATTTGTCATGAGGCTGGAGTGTTCATTCTGTGGCTTTGTTGGACATATCTGCACATGGAAGGAGAGAGGGAGGGATATATGGATGGAAGGATTTAGGGAGGGATGGATGGAAGGTTGGATGGAGGGATGGATGGATGGAGAGAGGGAGGGATGGAGGGATGGATGGGTGTTGAGTTGAACTACGTGACCAGTGAAGCAGAGAGTGCGTATGTAATATTACTTTTGTATATATGTTTGTTTAGTAATATTATTAGGATAATAAAAAATTATATAAATATTTGTTTCATGAATATTGTATTAGATGGAGATTCTCCAGGCTGTCTCCAGGCAATCTACTGAGCCACATCCCAGAAGGGGATCTTGGGGGGGGGAAAGAGAGAGGCATGAAGTGAGGGTGTGTATCATAAAAAATACTTACTTTAGAACTGATTTATTAGTTTTATTGTTTCGAAGCCGTAGGTTACTGAACTGTGGCGACGAAATCGAACAAAACACGCATGGTGTTGTGTGCACACGGATTAGGCCCGTCCACTCACGCTGGAGTTGTGCAGCCAATAACAAGAATAATTTCTCGAATAGCAGATGTCTATCATATTACAGAATATTTTTGGTTTTATTTAGTTAATTAGATAATAAAGCATTGTTAAATATTAACACTTTCGCGCTTTAGATTAGAGATAACTCGTCGCTGTTTTTTCTTACGATTCCGCATAACAGCCTACTTTTCTCGTCAATCGAAAAAATATTTCTATAAATTCCATTTTTTAACCGAAATGGATGGGGATACTTTTGTTTTGTAGAGAATTTATTTGCGAATTTTTTGGTACCAGAATGAATATTATATCACATAAACTTCTATGAGTAAAAAAAAAAATACACAAAGTATGTTTGGGGGTGTGGCGAGCGTGTGGCAGTGGGTTCCCTTTAGCCGTTGATATATCCAACACGTGGGAAATATTTGTATGTGTTATGTATATGTCTGTGTAGGGAATTTTACTGCGATCACTGTCATACAAATTATAAAATGTTTCAACAAGTATAAACATGACAAACATCAAACGAACGAAAACAATGCGTTCGTTTCTGCCGCGAACGCATACTGAGCGACGTGGTTCTATATTTGGCGCTTCTCTTACACATGCTTTGTACAAATGTTATACAGTTCATCTTATAGAAAATTTTATTGCGAACACATTGGTATAAAAAAGAAATACGTACATAGAAAAGTAGGGTCAGGAAACGTATAAACTTTCCAAGCATGATTTCCCCCCTGTGTTTTCGCCAGTGCGCTCGCGGCTAACTACTCTCCACTTCACACACTCTTGCGGGTGGGCAATTACCTATATTAAACATTCATATGCATATGTCCGTGTAGAGAATTTTATTGCGATTCCAATGACACCAAAATTAGCGATGTAGGACAACTGTAGGCTTCGCAACCATTAAGAGAGTGGAAACATTTTGTTGCTGTTTGGCGCTCTCGGCGAGTGATCTGCATAGTTTTTTATTTGGTGTTGATACTCCTTATGCTTGGGCGGCATTTTATAGGTATGCTCTTATAGACAATTTCATTGCGAACACAGTGATACCAAATTTAAATACGTGCGCCTTCAATTGTTGTCAGGACAGTCAAAAGAGTGTACACTTTTTCGGTCTTACCGCGTAGGCGCGCGAAGTGCCGAAAGCATCTGGGGTATTGTTTTTTTTTGAGCGCCGAGAGCGCGAAAGTGTTAATTGTAACCTGTGATAGAATGTGAAAGTTTTCCACCACTCTATGAACTGTCCCAACATCGTAAGCTTGTGGTCCACTTGTGGACAACTTGTGTGGTCCACTTGTGTGATCGTACTTGTCATGTGAGGGAATTATTAACACTATCTGTCACCGGGCAGGCGCACGGTCAACTTAGGGGTCATGCACCCGGCATGCGGGCGAGCGTGTGGGCAAGCGCGTGGTGACACCTAAATGTGTATACTCGTTTCAGCTTTCTCACCTTAATTCTCGTGCTACGTCGCTCGTTTTGGTATCATTGTGTTTGCAATTAAATTCCCTACAGGTGTGTATAAATATAATGTCCAAAAGCCTGGCTTGACTCCCAACAGCAAAGCCTAAAGTCAGCAAAAGTTACCCATGAGTGCACAAAATCAGTAAAATGTGCATGCTCGTTCCATTTTTCTCACCTTAATTCTCGTGCTACGTTACTCGTTTTGGTATCATTGTGTTCGCAATTAAATTCCCTACAGATGTGTATGAATATAATGTACAAAAGTTGGAGTGCCTCCCCGCAGAAAAGCCAAAAGTTACCCGTGAACGAGCACCAATTTGTACAACACTGCAACCTAATGTTGCAGTGTACCGCAGCAGCAACCTAATAACCTAATGTTGATCAACTGGGCTGTGGTGGGTATGTGGGCCTGCGGGCCGCTCCAAGCAACAGCCTGGTGGACCAAACTCTCACAAGTCAAGCCTGGCCTGCGGGCCGCTCCAAGCAACAGCCTGGTGGACCAAACTCTCACAAGTCAAGCCTGGCCTTGGGCCGCTCCAAGCAACAGCCTGGTGGACCAAGCTCTCACAAGTCAAGCCTGGCCTCAGGCCGCTCCAAGCAACAGCCTGGTGGACCAAACTCTCACAAGTCAAGCCTGGCCTGCGGGCCGCTCCAAGCAACAGCCTGGTGGACCAGACTCTCACAAGTCAAGCCTGGCCTGCGGGCCGCTCCAAGCAACAGCCTGGTGGACCAGACTCTCACAAGTCAAGCCTGGCCTCGGGCTGGGCTTGGGGAGTAGAAGAACTCCCAGAACCCCATCAACCAAGTATCAACCAGGTATCAACCAGGTAATGTGTATACTCGTTCAGTTTGATAACATCAATTTTCGTGTTACGTCTTTCGTTTTGGTATCAAATTGTTCGCAATAAAAAGGCGCGTATTTTAAAACTAGTCCCATAATAATAGAGCAATAACTGGAATTTTAACAAATATTTTAATTCTGGAAGCTCACCATCACAAAATTATTTATATCTTTCCAGTGTTCCGACATAAATTTGTGTGTTACATCTTTCATTTTGGTATCAAACTGTTTGCGACGTAAAGGCGCGCATTTTAAAACTAGTCCCAACATAATAGCATAATGAATAGAATTTTAACAAATATTTTAAAATTTTGACCAAAAGCCTATTTACAATCATATAGGTGTTCAGACATCAAGTTTCATGTTACATCTTTCATTTTGGTATCAAATTGTGCACATTCTAAAGGCGCTTATGTTTATACTATCCCGAGGTCGATTGGATAAAAGATGAATTTTATACAAATATTTTTGTAGTGGACGCAAGTCCGGTCCAAAGTTAGGACTCGGGAGAAAAATAATGGACACGAGTCCGGTCCAAAGTGACTGATAGTGTTAATTGTAACCTGTGATAGAATGTGAAAGTTTTCCACCAGTCTGTGAACTCTGTCCCGACATCGTAAGCTTATCTGCACGTCCCCCGCTTCGGCGAACCATTGTTCATCGAACCGGGTGAGTAAATCTGACCTGAAAAGTGCGACCTAGCCGGAGATTCGTTGAATCGGGGTACGTTGAATCGACGTTGTACTAATTACATATCACCCTTGATAGCTCAGGGGAGCCTTCAGGACTCGCCCAGAAAATGGCATTTCGTTATATCCAATGCTGGTTGTTTTCTGTGAACTCTCCAGTTGTCTATAAAGCTTTGCTGACTTTCTGAATGCCTTTCCGGTGGGGGTGGCGAATTGTTACTCACTCTGTGTCTCTGTGAAGGGGTGGCCAGGTTCTGGCTCTGATCCCCTCTAGGCTACACAAAACTCTTGCAACTGATGTGACCCATTAGATAGAGCAATCTCAGCAAGATAGCTTCAGGGAGCCACTGGAGCTCTTCCTGAAAGAAGCATTTCGTTACATTCAATGCTGTTTTTTTCAGGAAAGATATAAAAAACCTAAAAGAAGGTGAAGAAGAGAAAACTAAGGCTTATTGTGCCCTTTGTGTTTCACGCAAAGGATATAATCCTGCTATACTGGAGAGATTAACAACTGTGCCAGAGCTTACCCTCCAGCAGAAGACACCGCTTCGAGTTCTCCACAGACGCCCACTTGCCACCAGACCCAGAGTTATCCATAGCATGAAAGCCTCACCCGTTGATGATAATTTTTTTAAGGTTGGTATTTAACGTTCTTTATTGTAGTCCAAAGTTATTATAAGAAGAAAGAGCTAAGCCTTTATGATTGTATAGCATAAAATCAAAGTTCAGGTGATTCAAAGATCCTAAATATCACTTGGGAGGCCAATACAGGATTAGAGACATAAGTTTACCCATGTTTAAAGTGGTCTGATTCAATGAGGGCTTCATCAAGAGAGTGAGTGTAAAGAAACAGTTGGTAAGAAAAGTTTCTGATAATCCGGAAAATCAGGACATGCAACCAGGATATGGAAGAATTAAAATGGAACACAGTAAAGGGCATATGTCTTTCCATGAAATGCTCTGGAGTTAACTGTGTGGGGGTGGTATGTAACTCGGCCATTAATGTTTCCTACTTCCTAATGATTGCAACACCAGTATGACTGGGGAACTTGGACGGGAAATATGATGGGAACTTGGTGTGAGATTTTTTTTCTTTGACGATTATCAAAAGAATTAACACTTTCGCGCTTTAGATTAGAGATAACTCGTCGCCGTTTTTTCTTACGATTCCGCATAACAGCCTACTTTTCTCGTCCATCGAAAAAATATTTCTATAAATTCCATTTTTTAACTGAAATGGATGAGGATACTCTCAGATTATATACGTTTTGTAGAGAATTTATTTGCAAATTTTTTGGTACCAGAATGAATATTATATCACAAACTTCTATGAGTAAAAAAAAAAATACACAAAGTATGTTTGGGGGTGTGGCGAGCGTGTGGCAGTGGGTTCCCTTTAGCCGTTGATATATCCAACACGTGGGAAATATTTGTATGTGTTATGTATATGTCTGTGTAGGGAATTTTACTGCGATCACTGTCATACAAATTATAAAATGTTTCAACAAGTATAAACATGACAAACATCAAACGAACGAAAACAATGCGTTCGTTTCTGCCGCGAACGCATACTGAGCGACGTGGTTCTATATTTGGCGCTTCTCTTACACATGCTTTGTACAAATGTTATACATTTCATCTTATAGAAAATTTTATTGCGAACACATTGGTATAAAAAAGAAATACGTACATAGAAAAGTAGGGTCAGGAAACGTATAAATGTATAAACTTTCCAAGCATGATTTCCCCCCTGTGTTTTCGCCAGTGCGCTCGCGGCTAACTACTCTCCACTTCACACACTCTTGCGGGTGGGCAATTACCTATATTAAACATTCATATGCATATGTCCGTGTAGAGAATTTTATTGCGATTCCAATGATACCAAAATTAGCGATGTAGGACAACTGTAGACTTCGCAACCATTAAGAGAGTGGAAACATTTTGTTGCTGTTTGGCGCTCTCGGCGAGTGATCTGCATAGTTTTTTATTTGGTGTTGATACTCCTTATGCTTGGGCGGCATTTTATAGGTATGCTCTTATAGACAATTTCATTGCGAACACAGTGATACCAAATTTAAATACGTGCGCCTTCAATTATTGTCAGGACAGTCAAAAGAGTGTACACTTTTTCGGTCTTACCGCATAGGCGCGCGAAGTGCCGAAAGCATGTGGGGTATTGATTTTTTTTGAGCGCCGAGAGCGCGAAAGTGTTAAGTCCTATTGATGTTACGTTAATCGTAACTACCTCGCAAGAGAGGCAGACCTTAAACAGCAAGAGCTGCCAGTGGCAGATATTTAATCTTAAAGCCTAAGATCATAGGACCGAGGGAGCAAACCGCCAGGCGAAACCACTCGGGTAACACCTGTCACTTAGGTCGCTGGCTCCTCCTAGTTGACAACTAATAAATGGTAGCCGATGGATTCTCACTTCTTATTTATAGAAGTGTGGTGCTGTGCAATGGACTCGAGCTTTAGATACAGACTTGATATGAACATAAGCAGGCAAAGCGTTGCAGAACATGAAATGTGGGGCAGTAATATTGGAAGGTTTGACGTAAACGACTGTTTTCTATAACAAAACAATTTATTCACAAAACAAGAACTAAAACTACTACACAGTGAATTTACGTTACTTTACTGTCACTCCAGTGGCACATTCAAGAACAGCTAATCAACAGCCTGATGGACCCACGGTATCCTTATCCCGTCGTCGCTGACTGACTAATGACACTAACTGAACAAAATGGTGCCCACTGGTGACGCAAGCTTGCAATCAATATTGTCACGGCTTCACAGTGATCAGTACTATAATCACAAAAACTTGACTGGCGCTCGCTGCCCTCAACGAGGTACCAAGTAACAAGGCGGTTAATCCAAGAATGATAACCCCTTATAAAAAATCTTACGTTAACACTTGTCTCTCAGGACAATCAACAACAAAAGTTACTCTAATCGAATTTAAACAATTACGTTAATACATACGTGTCTCAACGACACTTAAATGGCAGCAATAACTCGTAAATCAATTAATTACATCAACTTGAAAGTCAAGCATTCGGTGAGTAATTCCCAATTAATTACTGAATACAACAGCCTATTAATTCAGACGAGTATTGATAAAGCCTACTGTCTCTCAACTGACAGTTCTCTTCCGGTCTTACGACAAGATTACCTTAACGAGGGTAGACTACTGTACCACACACAAGGTTACAAGACATTCCGTGTAAATAACAACATCAACACCCGGTGAATTCACTAAGTGGCGGTTACTAATTATCTTTAATTAGCTACGAGTGCTTAATCACTCTGTCCGCAGACAGATCTGATCAGACACACCCTGTTACCTAGCAGTAAATAGGTACCTGGGATTTAGTCAGCTGTCACAGGCTGCTTCCTGGGGGTGGAGGCTTGGTCGAGGACCGGGCCGCGGGGACACTAAAGCCCCAAAATCATCTCAAGATAACCTCAAGTCCAACGAATTACAGCAGCTTAATTACAGCGCAATTGACTCCGATCATAACAGACCGTCAACCCCTTACGTTAATCAATCAATTAACGACAGCTCGTTAAATCGTTAACACTACGTTAGTCTTCACTTGACAATTCCTCCACTGCGTGAACTTCACTGTGACTGTTGCCTTTACACGTCTCTACGTTAATCACAACAATGTTCAACAAAACAAGTGACCTTGTTAAGTAAATCGTGACCCCCGGTGACGTTAACTGACTTTAATTCTCACGGAATCCTTCACAGTACACAACACCTTCCACCAAGGACAAACTTGTCTACGGTTTACACACGGTACAACACAGTACATCACAGTACAACACAGTACATCCTTGCCACTCACGGCAAAACTTGTAAATGACTTCCCCCAGTAAATTATCCACCAATAATTCACATTTTACCACAACACAACAGTAAAATTTATAACCAAGGGAAACCTCCCTGTTACCACTTTCACTGCTGAAAAAGGGAATCAAATTACAGGAAAACATACGCGGCACATAGAAAAAATAGAAGCAAATAACTCACTTTACTCTACCTCTGAATGTGTCACTAGGTGTCCTCACACAAGTCAAAAATCACAGTTGGGCCCAACCTCAACTTGATGACGGCAAACAGGGTAGACTCACACGTCTCCAATTCCCATTCACCTCACCAGGTGGTCACAGGGACAGAGGACAGACGGAACACTGGGGGCGAACCCAGCTTCAGAGTTTTATTACTCAAACGGAAACAGTGTACTTACATCAATCGGCGGGCCCGCAACACTCCCTTTCACTCATATACCCGACAACCTCACACTCCCACTGCTGCTGCTGGATGATGACGTAGGCGTCCTCACTTCCTACACATGGTCAGGTGGAGCACAGGGTCCTAGACCACGGGGTTAGCTCCACACACAGAGACCAGGGTGGTGCGACACACCGGCTTAGGCAGACCAGGGTGCGCGCACAACAGCAGGGATGCGGTACCACGCCCTTCCACTTGACACGGTACCCCAGGATACGACGGTACAAAGTGTTACACGGTACACGAGACCCGAGACGGAGTCTTTCACTGTTCCTCAGAATTAGAACTTTTAAGGTTTCTCTCATAACACTGAAACCTTCTCTAGCACGTCTCACTGCAGTACCTTCAAGCACAGATACGATAGACGGCGGATGTCACTTTCGTAGCCCGATAATTAACACCTCACTCAGTCCAGTTGCTCTAAGATGGCGTCCCACAATTACGCGGCTAGATGACAAGTTCACACGGTTCGGTACAAGCACCTTTCCGACTACCGGATTCTTACGCACGGCACACGGAAAGATAGCAAGATGATAGGCGTGACTTTAGTAACGTTGCAGGCGGTATTTCCTAATGCTTGGCCTAGCACAAGAAATTACGTCCTCTGACAGCAACGTCCTCTGACAGCAATGTCTTTTCCCGCCAAGTCTGCCTCTGGGGTACTATGCTGTACCCCTCAGCGTCTTGCCCAATCACGGTTCAGCATTCCTGAGGCCCAGGAGCCTTGGCCAATGGCGTACCTGCCTCATGACGCTACCCCCTCTCTCACGAGGTGGACACGTGATAGGGGGGGTGGTCTACGGTCGTTAACCCCCCATACCTCCCTTTCTACACTTGACTTGTACAAAATTTCCCTGAAATCAACTCCCTCCTGTAATTTCCTTCACAGACCTGATACAGCTATCAGAGTGACATCAATGGCTAGCAAATGTCATGGGCTGTCCAACGACACCCAACACGACTGTGGAAAAGTTATATTCAGAAAGTTGAATCACGGTGCACATCACTGGTGCACTATGCAATTTCGTACTTAATTCAGTGCACGAGAGAGCAGGAAAAATATGTCTCCTGACACTTGGCAAATGCTTTATGGATAATATGTGAATGTACCGATTGATCGAGGCATTTGTACAGGTATAAATAATCAGTGGCAGTAGGTATCGGTTATGAATCAGTGGCAGTAGGAGTATCAGTTATGACATCAAAATATTATATCCACATAGGTGGGCCAAACAGATCATGGACATTAGGAGTGGTAGAGGAAGTGGTGCTGGTTCGAGTGCATTCATGATGCCATATTTTCCCAGGTGAAGTGGTAATAATTAGAGATGGAGGTACTCAAGGTAGCAAGTCAGTCACCACTGAGGTCATGAGAGACATTCCAGCCACAAAAGTGGCCAAGGTATGGGGAGAATCAGAAGGGTGAGTCAATGATGGCAATGGATCTGGGGCCAACACAGCCAGAGCAGCAGAGCCCAGTTTCCATCACAGCCAGAGCAGCAGAGCCCAGTTTCCATCACAGCCAGAGCAGCAGAGCCCAGTTTCCATCACAGCCAAAGCAGCAGAGCCCAGTTTCCATCACAGTCTGACTCTGGGTCCTGGTCGCCCACCCTATGAGTCTGAGAGGGAGAAGGGATATTGAGAAGTTAACAAAAATACCTTTTCAACACAAATGAACTTAAATTGAACTTCAGTGCCCTGCCCAGCCTTCATGGAACACTGGGAGGTACAAGCACATTGGCAATCTCAGGGGTAACACTGAATATATATGCAGGGGGTAACCGCTGAAGGGTCTGAATTGGTACTGATAGGAATACCAACCCTGTCATGCCCACTGGACCCGATGTCTAACCAGCCATTCTAGCCAGATGAGCCGATTGATTCAGGTGGCCCTTGCCGAACCTCCCATTTTATTCCTATTCTCGCCCCTTCCCCCAGTGAACTGTGTTGCTCCTCAGGAGCCACAGCCATTGCATAGGCTTAACGACCAGTTGAAGAAACAATGAGTAATATGTGGGTTTCTGTGCATGACGAAGGTACAGGTGGCCAAGTCACTTTGGGTACACCACCACAGGTTGGGGTTTGAAATGATAATAATCTTAGAATCTTAGAAATAATAATCTTATAATAATCTTAGAATGTTATAATGTTGTATATCCTTCTTTTAGTTTTTCAGAGTGTACAATTAATGAAGTTTTGCCATTTAGTTTGATTACAAAACTGACGTATAATTAATGTGTTACAGCTTCATCTAACAACACAAGCTGGAACTTACATCAAGGAATTTGTTCATGGTGACTTTGGGCGCACATCTCCGGACCTGGGATCTATTTTAGGCCTTGAAGTTGATATAGTTGCTTTGGATGTTGAGGTAAGAAACAATAATATTACATGAAATTCTTTTCTGTGTTATATATTGTACATTGATTTCTTTGTAAATGTTTAGTATTTAATCTAGTTTGAAAATAGCATTAACCCTTAAACTGCGCAACACGTTATATGTTGTGTTGATGGGATATAAATTATGAATTAATTCAACCTGTCCTCCAAAATTGATGGTACATTACCTGTGGTATGTATCAAATATGGACTGTTGCGTTCCCCTAAAAAAATCCATGTTTTGTAATATTAATTCTGTACAGGACCTGAGAAAGATGAGGATAATTAAGCCTAACCTCTCATAGGTCTAAGGGTACATAATTAGGTGTAAGATAAGTTAGAACAAATCCACAAGGGCCGTGACAAGGATTCGAACCTGCGTCCGGGAGCATCCCAGACACTGCCTTAATCGACTGAGCTACGACAGGGTAAAAGAGTTAAGAGGCAATGTCTGGGATGCTCCCGGACGTAGGTTCGAATCCTCATCACGGCCCTTGTGGATTTGTTCATTTGTTGCATCACGTTAGTGTGATCTCTGTGTGTAAGATAAGTTAGGTTGTTTGTTGTTAATGAGTTTCTGCTATTTCCTTTAGTATGTCAATAGTAAAAAAACAAGAACTTTTCTGTGGGGGAGCCCTGTCGGTTCCCTGGAGCTATGGGACTGATATTACCTATATTAGTCTGGGGCTTCAGTCACATGGAGTTCGAGCCTATCGGGGACCACGACCCAGAACCTGGTTCCCTCAGAGAGGCTCAGGGAACAATGGCCTAATAAACTTCCTTGTATAAGAGTAGTCATGTCTGCCATCGACCAGGGTTAGACTCCCAGAAAGGTAGGCATGATGACCAGACCACACACTTAAAAAGTGAAGGGACGACGACGTTTCGGTCTGTCCTGGACCATTCTCAAGTCGATTGAGAATGCTCCAGGATGGACCGAAACGTCGTCATCCCTTCACCTTCTAGTGTGTGGTCTGGTCATCATTCTTTAGCCACGTTATTGTGACTCATCACCTGCAAAAGGTAGGCATTCCCAAAACAGATACCAATTGGTAGGAAAATTGCAACCGGAGACTGAACAGAGGCTAAAAACTACCCCAAGGAAAACAAAACAAGATAACAAACAACACGTCATTACACCATGCACCGTTCATTCTCATCGAACACTTCCCCCCAAGGGGGAGGGGGACCACGGCCCACTGAGCCAGCCTCTGGACCGCTAGTTTGTCAACTGAAGCCGGCTGGGGCGGTCATCTTCTCAGGTCAGAATTGCCTACCAGGATTTACACCCGTGCGCTGGTACCCACTGTGTGTTGGTGCGGTGGCCAGGAGTCCAGTACCCAAGGCTGTATGTGCTTAGGGCTCCCTTTCCTAAGCCCCCTGTAAGTACACCCCCCGGGTTTCAGGGTTCTCTTCCCTGGGATCTTCAGGTTCCCACTCCCGTATAGGTAGCGGTTGCTTGGCTTCGGCCTTGACCTTGGGGTCAGCTTAAGTCTTGGTGCTTTTGTTTGGTCCTGGGTAGGGAGTGGTTGTTGCTGGTTGGGGCGCACTGGGCTGCACCATTTGCATAACTGCAGCGACTGTGTCGCTTTCTCGCCAGCTGGGTTGTGGTGTTTCCTAGAGGTTCTTTTCCTCCATTTAGTTCCTTTATTGCCTGTTAGGAAGCTACCAGTGTTCTTATTAGGTACTGTACTCACTTAGTTGTATTCTCCTAGTTGTGCTTGCAGGGGTTGAGCTCTGCTCTTTCAACCCGCCTCTCGACTGTCAATCAATCAACTGTTACTAACTACTAACTAAAGCTGTCTACACAGCCACCGGAGTCCCTACCTAGGGGCACCGGTGATACCTAGGCTCAGTAGGGCGGTCCTCCTCTGGGCCCCTGCAGTTGCTCCCTTCACAGGGGCCAGTTTGTCCGGTTAACATGCTGGGTTCAACTGGGTTTGGCAGCACCAGTGCCTGGGCTTCCCATAGGAAGACATCCCCCTATGGGGCTTGGTTGACTAATGGATGTGTCCTCTGAGTCCCATCTCGCCTTGTGCGAGTTGTTTCAGTGTGACAATCACCTGTTTTGCCTTCGTCATGCTGCTTGTTGGGTTGACGACACCTTCGACCCAGTGTCTTGTGAGATTTGTTCACCAATTTACCCACTCTAGCTGCAGATAGGGGTCAAGCAGCTTACACGTTACATGCTAGGTTTAGGTTGATGCAACGCACTCATTAATAGTCGCCCGCTCGAATGCCCCGGGGCTGCCCCGTTTTGGTTTTAGAGACCCAGACTTGGAGGCGGTGGTCACTTTGACCTTGGTTCAGTCCGCCCCTTCGTCCTCTCACACCCGAAGGTATGTCAGGTGCATCATGTGTTGTGTCCGGTTGCTGCTTTAAGCCGTTACCTGTGTGCCTCAGCTTCTGTGTCTGGGGAAGCGCTGTGGTTTGACCCTGTATTCCTCGTTCCCTGTTCCAGGGCTCGGGTCTCTCAGGTCATCCAGGAAAGGGGTAGGGATTCGCGGGAATGAGCAATGTGCGGTATGGTGACGTGTTGCTTGTTATTTTGTTTTCCCTGGGGGGGGGAGTTTTTAGCCTCTGTTTGGTCTCCGGTTGCAATTTTCCTACCACTTGAGGTCTGTTTGGGGCGCCTACCTTTCTGGGTGTCTAACCCTGGTCAATGGCAGACATGACTACTCTTATTAAAAGGAGTTTCATAGGCCACTGTTTCCTGAGGGGACCAGGTTCTGGCTTGTGGTGCCCTGTAGGCTCAAACTCCGTGAGACTGAAGCCCCAGACTAATATAGCTAATATCAGTCCGATAGCTCCAGGGGCTCTAGCTAGAAAATGGGGTTTCATTACATTCAACACTGGTTTTTAGGTACAACAGTCTATATTATATACATACCCACAGTCACTATAGGTACTGTCATTTTTGGTGAGTGGCTGGATATGTATTTGTATATCAAGATATATAAATAATGATGCTTTATCTTCTGTTACAGAATGTTGCTTTGGATTGGCCACCGAGCTGTGATAAATGACATTAAAGTAATATATGAAATGGAATAAAATAAAAATTCTCTACACTTGTTTAACTGGAACCTGCAGGCTGAATGTCTTAATTTAATATGCTTTTCTTGGTAGTTCCTTGGTGGTTCTCTGAATGTTTCTCGCTGAGATTGCTACCACCTACTGGGTAACATGTCACAGGAGTAATGTTTGCCATTCCAGGGACCAGAGCCATAACCTGACCCCTTCATGGAGGCACTGGATGTGAGTGATAATCCGCCACCACTCTGGGAGAGCATTTAGAAAATCACTGAAGCTGTACATCTACAAGCTTTGTAGAAAACAAAGCCTTGAAATTACCGAACAACTCCACAAATGATCCAAATGAAACAATTGGTTCACTCAAAACTTGTTCAAACTCATTATTCCTGATAGCCCTCAGGTTATCTTGAGATGATTTCGGGGCTTTAGTGTCCCCGCGGCCCGGTCCTCGACCAGGCCTCCACCCCCAGGAAGCAGCCCGTGACAGCTGACTAACACCCAGGTACCTATTTTACTGCTAGGTGACAGGGGCATAGGGTGAAAGAAACTCTGCCCATTGTTTCTCGCCAGCGCCCGGGATCGAACCCGGACCACAGGATCACAAGTCAAGCGTGCTGTCCACTCGGCCGACCGGCTGCCCTCACCAAGCAGCCTGGCCCAAAGCCCCACAGCTGAATTCTGTGGGTCAGTTCTGTTACTGATGTGGTTATAGCAACAACCTTTAGTGGTCCGGATTGCCAGCTTTCATGGCGAGCCCTTCTGCTTTCAGCTAATTGCCAGCTTTCATGGCGAGCCCTTCTGCTTTCAGCTAATTGCCAGCTTTCATGGCGAGCCCTTCTGCTTTCAGCTAATTGCCAGCTTTCATGGCGAGCCCTTCTGCTTTCAGCTAATTGCCAGCTTTCATGGCGAGCCCTTCTGCTTTCAGCTAATTGCCAGCTTTCATGGCGAGCCCTTCTGCTTTCAGCTAATTGCCAGCCATCCTTTGGACCATGTCCTGAGAGGACCTTTTGCTTGTACTTAATTCTCATATTTTAGTGTTTGCTTCACTTGCTTGATTATATCCTGCTTTGTTGTGAGGACTTTGCTTCTTTTGGGCTTTGAGCTGCATGCACTTAGGGTTTACTTTCCTGGGTGCTCGTTAGTGCTGCCCCAGTACTGAAAGAATTGCTTCTTTGGTGTGGTCAGGAATTTGCCCAAGAGGTCAGGCCACTGGAGAGGAGCACCTCATCTTGGGCTGTTCAGTGTCTTTGACTTCTATTTGTGCCCTTAGTTGGGTGGGCATTCTGATTGGTTGTGCTTGGAGTTCACACACTTGCTTATACAGCACTTGTCCTGCAGACGCCTTTTGTACCCACACAGCTTTTGGCTGCGTTTGGCGAGAGTTCTTTCAGCGAAAGTCCCCAGTGCCTGGGAATCCTGCTTGTTTAGTTATCTTTTAGGCCATGGTAATTTCCCTACAGGTCTCAGTCGTGGTTCATCATGAATCGGCGTGTTGAATTTGTGTGCACTATATGTGAACTTGAGAGGTGCTCATCATCTCTGCTTCAGGACGACAATCATTCTCTCTGCTTCCGTCATGTTGCCTGTTGGGTCATTGACACCTATGGCCCTGAATCATGTGGTGTGCTCTCAATAAGCTTCTGGCTGAACCTGCATTAAGTACAGAAGCTTGCCAGGCAGCACCCTCTTTACATGCGAAGTTTGCTCATGTTATAGGTGTTCCTGGCTTTGTGCTAGAGTTGGCCCCTATGTGTTTAGGGAGCCAGAATTGGAGGTGATGGTGACCACCTGGCTAAGTCTGCACCTTCTCTTCCTTCTCTTGCAGGTGAGGTTTAATGTTTCTGGTGGTCCTTCTCTTCCCCTTCAGTACTGCCTCCAAAACATCAGAGTTGGAGCAGAGTGTAGCTTGGTCTTCTGGGGGGGGGGGGTCCTCTTCCGCTTATGTATGTAGGTGTATCATAGACAGCTTGATGTATGTATCACAGCCTGATTGATCAGGTATCCTGTGGAGGTGCTTATCGAGTTCTCTCTTGAAAAGTGAGAGGTCCTGGCAAGGGTTCTGCTGTATCTCTGTATGACTAGCGAGAGGTGAGTACCATCTTTATTGTGTTCTTGAGCGGAGATCCTTATTCTCCACTTGAGGGATGTGGGCAAGTAATTATCTAAAGAAGGCACCATGATGCCTTCTTTATGAACTGCATCATGAAGAAGCCGTGATGCAGTTCAGACAATAAGAAGCAGGGCAACTTTCCTTTTAAGTGTCCATGACTTAAGCATGTTTTGGCAAATATGTAATCTAGCCAGAGCCATTTCCCACCATCTATTATGGTAGGTGGAAGGCCAAGGGCATAGGTTTTAAGAATGTAGTTTGTTACCTGTAACGTCATACCAGTGACTGTCAATGGTCACGCACTGAGGAATGAATGAATGGGTAGAAATATGAATAAGGAATGCCTTTTTGTGGAAACCAGGACAAGTGCGGATAGCCTCCTTAGTGCCAGTGTTTGCTCTGCATGTTCATATAAGGTAAGAGTAATGTGGCTGGGAACCCAGCAAAACTCGTCTATCGTAAATTTGCTAGAGATTAGAAACGGCCAATACAGTGGTACCTCGGATTACGAGCGCCCCTGGTTACGAGTTTTTCGGGTTACGAGCAGGATTTGCTCGGAAAATTTGTATCGGGATACGACCGTTGCCTCAGGATACTAGTGTGTTAATACACGTACAGGCCGACCTAGCGTGTGGTGGCATGGCGATCGCTGCTCAGTTTACCAGTGTCTCGTGCCCAGTGACTATACCGCCTCAATTCTTCACCAGGATTTACAGTGTTTCGTTGGATATTTGGCCATTTGAACATAAAAGTTATTATATATCTCGCAATGGGTCCCAAGAAACCAGTGGTAAGGTTCACCCCAAGAAAATAGTTGAGAGTAGATACAGTAGAGGATGTCCCTTCCTCATTAAGAAAATGTGTGAAGTATGGGAAGAACTGCAAAGTTTTGTTGAAAAAAACTCGCCCAGATAAAGCTGTAGCAGGCCGTTGCATTGACCTTTTAAATGTCAATGTGATGTCTTACTACAGACAAGTGTTAAAATGTAGGGAAAAACAAGTGTCTTTAGACAGATTCTTATTAAGACAAGCAAGCAGTGAGCCACAAGCAGGCCCTAGTGGTATGCAGACAAAACGTGCCAGAGAGTGCACACCAGAGAAGTCCTCACTGCCTGATGTTATAATGGAAGGGGACTCCCCTTCCAAACCGTAACACCTCTCCTCCTCCCCTCTCCTCACCATCTTCCATACACCAACAGCAGTCATCAGCAAGGGTAAGTAATAACTTGAACATAGTTTTGTAGTGTAGATTTCGATGAATTAGGTATAAAATTTAGTTTGAAATGAGGTTTTTGGGTAGTCGGGAATGGATTAACTCATTTCCCATTATTTCTTATGGGGAAATTAGCTTCGGTTTACGAGTTTTCGGGTTACGAGCCGTCTCCAGGAACGGATTAAACTCTTAAACCGAGGTACCCTGTATTGTATTTCGACCACCACAAGTTGCAAAGGGTTAAATGACTATAGCCATGAGTCATTGTGCGAGACAACGACAAAAGAACATTGGCAGTGGAAAAGCAGTAGACAAAGAGCATACAGGATTGCATAAAGTTGAACATGCTAGTCTCCAGGAATAGGTGGCATATATGGGCTTGGTAAAAAAAAAATGGAGTAGCCAACACCATCGGCACACTTAGACCTATCTGTGAATGGTGCAAAGAAGTGTTCAAGAAAAAGGCATTTCATAACAGTTGGAAGAGTGGAGAAACTTATCATAATGCCGTAGTGCTTGAATGAAGGTGAAGGAAAGATTTATACAGCACCTTGAGAAAGTGAGAGAGAAGTGTGTTACATGATCTGGAATAGAGCAGTAACTATTCTGGCAGGTGGTGTGCCAAACACATCAATAAAAACAAAAAAATCTGCTTGGTTCCTCTGCTGTGTATTAATTGCAAGCAAAAACTAAGAGAATAAAACTTTAAACATTTAATATTACAAAAATGACTTTAATGTTACACAAAATGTTAAGTAACAATGAAAACAAAACCCCTTATCCACTTGGCTTAAACACAATCAAAAGAGAAATATATTCATGTGAATTTTATGTTAATAACAAAGGTGAAGGTAAAAACTTTATACAAAATGCTGTGTGTGTCTACCGTCACCAGAGGGCGAGGATAGACGCGGAAGCAGTGAGCGCCAGAAGGGTACTCTGGTGCGCTGGACGTTGTTGTTGTTGTTAAAGATTTAGCTACTCAGGGTGAGGTGTCCATGTAGCACGGGCTATGGTGAGCCCGTAATTGAGTTTGGTTATACATGATAACCTTTTTCCTGTGATGGGCGCTGGACACTGGCAAGCCTTTGTATACGAGGTGTGACGTCACTTTGGCGCGAAATCTGGAGCTGTAGACATGAAGCCAGCAAGATAACGACTGTTATGATGGTTTGTCTGGCATCGGGAGCGCTGGCTGGACGGCAGGTGTGCTGTCTCTCGTGGAAGGTAGGGTGGAAAGGGGGAATGAGAGGCGTATCTAGACAATACGTGTGGCACATGTTGTTGTTGTTGATGTTGGAGCATGCAGATACGTTGGTGGTAAGGAACAGGCAGAGTCTACTGCTATGCAGGAGATAATTGTAACAGCTCCTCCCCAAAGCCTGTTCCTATCACCTGAGATGCTACTGTGGAGATTTGAAGTGGGAGGTTCCACCTTGTGGACTCTGGAGAGCGTCGTTTGAGATGACGTCGGCCGAGATGTTGAAGATGTAATGTTGCAGGGCTCATAGAATTGTGGATTGGTTGGAGAACTGAGCCTGCTGAAAGGACCGTAGGGAATGATGATCCGACAAGATGTTGAGGAGATGATTCAGCAGGTACAAGGCCCAGCGAAGCAAGCGCTGGTTGGAGAACTGTACCTGTTGCAGGTACCGAAGGGGATTGAGGTCCAAGGAGATGTTGATGAGAGGGTAACCTTGGAGATATG